GCTTAGAGAAGGACACGTTGGACGATATCATGGTCACTTTAGTGAAATAGTGAAATACAAAGGGAAAAAAAAGTTGACTATTGCTATTAAAGAGTATATTTGGTGTTGCTCATTTTCTTTCCACATCCTCTTCAGAAGGGGATGATTCTTTGAAGTGGGGTGAACTCACGTTGCTGTACATTACCAGCAGTCATCTGATGCCTCACCCATAATCTTTTATTTTTTTTAATATGCGAACCTCGATAACTTTTTGTTTGCAGAGTGTGTTTAAGGTGAGCCTTTCCCAAAGTCCACGCCAGTGCCTTTAGCAGCTGAGGATTAGACTTCTTTTCTAGACCAACGACTCAAAAGGGTCGATTTTTCTTCAATGTTCACCCTTCTTCGTCTTTGCTACTCACTTTGGAATAATTACGTTACACCTTTCTACCTGTGGCAAATGATATCAGAAAAATTTCCACTGGTTCTCATGCCAAGTATAAAGTGTGATTCTGATTTCATGATGTGCCAATTGGTGTGTCTGTCACCCTAGTCACATTGAAGGGGCTGCTAATGTCCATGCTAATAATAATAATACTAATAATCCTTGCATTTGATATAGCGCTTTTCACGTCTTCTAGACGTCCCAAAGTGCTTTACAGAATATACTGTAAAGTGAATTGACTGTATATTTGTGGGTGAACGCGGCAGCCAATTGCGCACAGCAATGTCCCACAAACAGTCATGGATTGAAAATGACCAATTTATTATTGTTTTGTTTTTTTGGAGGGATTATTATTAGGCGTGTGGAGTAAGGAAACTTGCGCAAGGTTTCGCCCTGCCTGGATTTGAATTCAGGTCTCTCGCTTAGAAAGTGAGTGCTCTAACCACTGAGCCACAGGACTCCACCATGTCATGTGGCTGATGTTTTCAAAATAAATATCTTTAAATCTGACAAATTGGAATAAAATTTGAAACCAGATTGAGAAAAAAATCCCAACAGTTCTGGATTTTGGTTAATGCGTGACAATCAATGTCTTTCTTTCAGAATGTGTGTTTACAATTACAATTTACAGTTATTAAATGTAAATGTCTAGTTTGTACAGAAAACGGGTTCATTGTTGAGAATTTGTTCTCCAGAATTAGCTGGCAGGTATCTTGTGTGTAACAATAAATCTTTTATTTTATTTGCCAATTGCTGTAATTAAAAATAAATTCTAAGATAAAGAGAGCTTTCAAGGTTATTTGAAATTTGCTTCTCAGTAAAGGCAGATAAATGTGACTTCATGTCTGTCTCTCGCATTGCCTTTCTGTCTTTAAGAGAGTTTATTTTCTTTCTAATTACCATGTATGAAACAAAAATGTAAATTTTACTTTGAAAATAAAATTAAAACTAGTGAGAGCAATTTATTAGCGACTATATTCATTCAATTGTTACCGAAATAGGGAAAAGCAACATTTTAATATGGGAAGGGGAAATAAAATCAGTAGTTACTAAAAATCCAGAAGGTCCCAGATTAGATCAGTGTTAAATTGCACAATCTGATCTGGGATGACATTTGACTGTCACAATTGGCTTTAGGATTTGGGATTAGGGAAGGGAAATTTGGTCATGATTTCTGGTCCTTATCACTATCCAATTACCCCTGTACCCCCAGTTTGGGTCCGAAACATTGACTGTCCAGTACCTTAGGACGTTCTCCTGACGTGGAAGGCGCTATACAAATGTAACTTTGTTGTTATTGTTCAATGTCAGGTTAGGAGAGAGTCAATCTTGACTGTGATGTCCTCGCACAGTTGAACAGTCTGCTGACATCCATTGTCCACAGATAAATAATGGCCACTTAAGCAAGATACCAACAAGCAACCTTTTGATGGAATCATACTCCAGTAGAAAGAAACAGTTGAATCCCTTTGGGAGAGAATAGTGGTGACAAACATACAAGTCACCCAATCTGAACCCTCAAATGGCCTACACGGGAAGGAGTGGAAACTATGGAAATTAATCTGAAGATGGACTATACTGAACTGATTATTTGTTTTATGTTCAAGTTTGTATTAAGTATTGCAACTTTAGTACTTCAGTTTTTTAAGAATATATCAGTAACTTATCGAATTTGCTTACCAACCTTGAAAGTCTTAAATGTGACATTTTATTTGGATTCTATGTTCAATTCTTTCCAAAATGTAACCATATATTCAAGCCTTTATTTATCAACCTCTTGTGTCATTGGCCTTGTGATGAGGAGTGATGTTTCTCTAATCGCTCTGGCTTGATTTCTTGGTTGGCCTAGTTGAATTGCCAGTCCGCTCCTACGTTTGTCAGGTGGTGATCTAGATCTGTGTTGTGCGCTGGTCTGACCAGTATTGGTGGGCGCTGGGTTAAGTGCCGGTTTTCCGTCCTGCACCTCTGAAAATGCTGGTAACAAGGTATCCTAACTTCAAGAGCCCTGACAGCTGACTCTAAAGTGAGAGGTCCATGATTGAAAAAAGATTAATTTGTAAGTAAGTTTGTTTGGAAGTTCGATTTGGAGTGAGGTGAGGAACCCTTGGTAACGGCACAAGATTAGCAGTTCTGGCTCCCATGGCAACCCTAGAATTTGCCTTTCGGAAGGGCGATGACCTAGTTGGTGAGGATGACTATACCTCAATGAGCACTTGTTATATTTGGCTTGGTGATAGCCTAGGGAATGGTACAGGAAGGTAATATAAATTTTGATGAACGTTAGAATCGTATATTGTGTAATTACATTTTTAGCGATCTGATTTTTCAGAATGTTTTAAAAAAGGTTTCATCTAACTGATCTGGTCTTGCATAGGATCTGAAGGATTTTATGCATCAGGCGGGAGAAATTGCCTTTGCAGACTCACACAGAACCAAAATGAATGAAAGGTAGGTTATAGAAATTTAGTTTTTGAAATTTCCAGCAACAAGAGTTTACACTTATATAATAGTGTCTATCCTATAATGTAGGATAAACGTCTCAAAGCGCTTAACAAATATGATGGCAATACCAAGTTGGCAGAATTAAGGATGTTGGCCAAAGGGATAATCCATGAGGAGATTTTGAAGGCAGGGGGAGAAAACAATGTGAAGATATTTGGGAAAATTTCCAGAGGGCAGAGACATTGTGGGTAAAAGCTTCGCCCCAATGGTGCAACAAAGGGAGTAAAGTAGACCAGAATCAAAAGAGAAGAGGTTACATGCAGAAGTGTGCAACTGCAAAGGAGGGAGGTGCATGTCTGCGTTAACTATAAATATATCACCGGAGGTAATGTTTAAATTTGCTGATAGCAATGTTGATTCAATAATGTGTCGACTTATGCATCTGCTGAAGACAGAAGGCCCGACTGCCAATGGTGGGGTGGTTATGTAGGTTTAAGAAGCAAGTTAAATGTTCCATGCTGGTATTTGTAGAAATGTCAAATATTTTTGGTGCAGCTATAACAATGGAAACACTATGCATTTTTTTCAGTCTTCAGTAACTTGAGACTCGTGATCACTAAGCTGAATAAAAATTAAATTAGGAATTTCATGGCCCAATTCAGCCAACAAAATTTTCTCGGGGGAAGAGAGTGAATTTTGAACCAACCTAATACACTTGATGGGTGGTGGAACTCTGTTCTATTTCTCACATTAGGAAGACAATGCATTGACCTACTGCAAAGGTTGCATCATTGGCACCAACAGCAACCACAATAAATTGCCTTTCAATGTCGGGAGGACATCACCAGTGGTGAAGAAGAAATATTCACTTTTGAAAACTAATTGTAAAAGATTGGTGCGAAACCTTACTTTAATACTTACAATGACATGCAAGAAATAAGTTATGACACAGTACTAAATAGACAATTTGTATTTTTTTTAATCTGTAAGGCTCAGTTGCTCAATAGACTAAAACACATTAAAGTAGTTATCCCCAGCAGGAGGGAGCTTGGAGTCAGCACCAGCAGAAAGAAAGATGATGGGCTGAATGGTTTCCACACGTACACTGCAAACTTTCTATTTTATTCCGGTCAACTGACATCTGACACACAAGAGACTCTTGAATGAAGAAAGTCTTTCAGCCTATTTGATCTCATCCGTTTCAGAATTGCCCGATTCACTGACTTGACAGTTGCAGCTATCGGGCTGTACCTTAAAAGAAACCCACCCTTCTCGACGCCTCCCTGTATCTGAGGGTAAACCAAATCTGTGGATGAATTTTTTAAAGTTGAATTCACCATAATTCCCGATGCTGGCATACCGGAGAAGCTTGTTGGATTAATGGCTGTATTTCTCTGTTGCATGCATCTGTTTTTAGAATTTTATTGTTCTTGCTCAGTTTGTTACTGAACTCAAGACAGGGCAAATTTGGCCCCAGGGTCACAATACCTCTTCAGAGGATTGTTCCCTGGAAATCCGGGGCATATGATCGCCCTACGTGTAGCGTAAAGAAGTGAAACCCATTACCGTTGCTTTTAAAGTGCCTTCAAACCAAGCTATGGCGCTGAGAATGTGGCGCACACAGACTGTGTGGGTAGTTTGAGTTTGGCTGCTGTTGCGTGTTCAGCATCAATAATAATCCGAGCATTGGAATATAACGCCTTAGCAACAACAACTTGGATTTATACGGCGCCCTCCACGCCGGACGGAGTCTCGGAGCGCTTTACAGTTAACGGATCCCGGGACCGAGCCCGGGGGGGTGGGGGGGGGGGGGGAGGGGGCACGCCGGACTGTAAATGCAAGTGGACGTAAAACTGTGTATCTTTGCGGGGCAAAGCGATGACATTTGGGGTTGGGTGCGGGGGGGGGGGGGGGGGGGGGGGGTTGGGTGGTGGGGGGGTAAGAGAGAAAGAAAGGGGTGGGGGAAAGTGGATGGCAGAGAGGAGAGGTGAAAAGAGGTGGAGGGAGGGAGGGAGATAGATAGATAGATAGAAAGAGAGAGAGAGAGAGTGTGTGGGAGTGAGTGAGTGAGTGAGTGGGTGGGTGGAGGGGGGGGTGGGGGGAGATACTGCCATTGCCTTGTGCTGGAGCTGTGGGTGGGTGGGCGGGAGGGAGGGGGCGGGGCTTGGGCGCCATTTTGAGCTGTGTCTGAGGACGGCGCTCCCTCCTTCAGTGCGGCGGCGGCTCAGAGACAGGTAACGAGGGCCGCGCCCGTTGTCGTTCACAGACAGAAACCATCCGGATAAGTAAACCAGGAACCAGAAGCGATCAGTTGGGCACGAAACCCCCACCACACACACACACACCCCCACACCCCCCCACCATGTCCTGCCGCCGATCGGGGACTGTTAGATCATTGTAGACTCTGGGGGGGGGTGGTGGTGGTTGTTGTGTGTGTGTGTGTGGGGGGGGGGCGCTGGTCGTGTAATTTGGGGCCTTCCTCTCTCTCTCTCTCTCTGTGTCTCCTTCTCTCTCTCTCTCCCTCCCCCTTTCTCCCTCCCTCCTGACTGATCAACAAAGGCCTCGGGCCTGGTGTTCGGGTCCCGGGAGTTGGGGCTCCGCACAGCTGACCACCATTTTGAAAAGGCCTGTCCTGGCAGGAGCTGCTCATCCCTTTTACCCCCTTTCTTGCCCCCTTTTCTTTCTCTCTCTCTCTCTTTCTGCCTTCTTTCTCCCTCCACCCCCCACCCCCCCACCCCTTTCCTCCCCCTCTACCCCCTCCCCCTACTTCACCCTTTCTCTCCCTCTGCATTTCTCCAGCTCCCCTCCCTCCCTCCACCCCTTTTTCTCTCTCTTTCTCTTTCTCTCTCTCCCCCCCACTATTCCACTCTTGATGCTGAACTTGTCTTTTTTTTTTAAAAAAAAATCGTCTCCCTTTTATCTCCAGGATTGCAACCAGAAACGTTTCGAAAGGAAGTGATTGTGTTATTTTCTGTCGGAGAGGATGAGCTCTCGAGTGTTCATCGGGCGATTGAGCCCTTACGCCACCGAGAAAAATGTGGAAAAATTTTTCAGAGGATACGGCCGGATTAAGGAAATTGATCTGAAGAATGGTTTCGGATTTGTGGTAAGATTTATGCAAATAGGGTGAACAACATTCCCCCATCTTAGAGCGAATCTGTCCAGATGCAAGTTGTACACCGACTGTGGAGCGCACCTGCCATTTCTCAATTTCTACCCAGTCTTAGTACTTGATACAAGTAAGCAACACTGCCCCTTAGAATCAGATAGCGAGTCGCTTTGCTTGATCATATTGGCAGAGGTGACTGAATGGCGTTGTGAAGAAAATGCTTGCAATAATTTTCTTGAAAACATGTAACTTTTGTGTTCTGTTGGAAAATCCACTTTGTTTAGGAGTTTGAAGATTACAGAGATGCAGATGATGCTGTTTATGAACTGGATGGAAAAGAGTTGTGTAGTGAAAGGTAAAACGCAAAATTCTGTGAATGTCTGGGGAAACTTAAGTTGGAAATTCCCAATGTTTCCTCTTCAATCAACCAGGTCCAGGATTATTAAATGGGGGGCAAGATGCATCTGCATGCATAAGAGAGAATACATACATGGGTGGAAACTCATGTGGAGTGTAAACACTGGCATGGACTAGTTGGGTCAAATAGCCTGTTTTGGATCTGTAGATTCTGCGTAAATGTGCATTCAGTTCTGTCAATAGTAATTTCAGCTTTTAAATGAGCTCTTGTTTTTGTTGTTGCAGAGTTACGGTGGAGCATGCCAGAGCACGCTCTCGGGGAGGTCGTGGCCGATTTCAAGGCCGTTACAATCAACGTCGCCCAAGGGGTGCAGGAAGGTGAGGTTGAGTGGGGGTATTCTGAAATATAACCATCTAATGGAACCAAGCCATTTCATATGTTACCAGAAGCTGTAACTTTGGATTGAATAGATTCTGATTGATGTTTGTATGGAAAACTTGAATTAGTTTAGGCTTCCTGGAAATTTAATAGAATATTAGATATTTTGGCTACTTCAGTGTCCTGTTATTTGGGCAATGGACCTGTTGTCCTTTTGCCATAACATTCCCATTGTTCATTTTCAAATTTTGCTTCTGCCTCCCACTTGTGTGGGATCTAATCAAATCTCGCTTTGTTCTAGAAGTGGTCCGCCAAGTCGCACAGAAAACAGATTGATTGTTGAGAATTTATCATCCAGAGTTAGTTGGCAGGTACGTTACTTGTAACTGTGACTATTGAGTGTAGCTTTGTTGATTTAATTGTGTTCTCGTATGAAATGTAACTGTAAATAGAGCTTTCAAGGTTAGTTGAGAGCCAGCTCGCAATAAAGGGCAGAAGTGACTTCCCCGTGTTTGCTTTGCAAATCTATGAAATTAGTTCAATAGTTTTATCTAAACCAAGAAAATAACTGGACAAAACCATGTGTATGTGACAGTTTATTGATAAAATAGCAAACTTTTAACAAAGCGAGCATAGCAAGCAATTGACCTCATAAAGTGGAAACCTGCATCATTTTTACAATGTCTGGGGGAAGGGGAAAGGCCTTTCAATTCCTAAATCACAACAATTGTAGCCACTGCTGTTTTCTAAGAATGTCACTTCCTACCCCGTTATTGTAAATGGACTCTTAAGGATAGGTAGATAAGTAGATCAGTCCTAAATTTTTTGAGTGTTATTAACAGAATGCGCAACTGATTGGTATAATTTCTATTGAAGTAAATTATGCTCTAGTCATTTTAATTTTGTTTGCTCCGCTTCTGCTGATCGGTCACTGTTATAGACAAGGGTGAAGGATGTATCAGATTCGGCTGTGGTATCCCCCCCTCCTCCATGGCTAATTGCCAAACAGTGTGAGGAGTGGTCTCTTGGGCGTGCTCCCCAAGTAAAGTAAGGGCTGCTTGCATCCTTGGATGAGTGGCACCCACAGGTAATAAAGGGTGGTGGAGAGGAGGTATCTGGTCCATTATGACCTGATTGTTCAGAAGTCATGCCGATGAAGAACTCCGTTAAATAGAATTGATTGGTCTCGATGGTGGTTGGCTTTGACATGTCTTTCACCCTCTGACCATAGATGGTCTCAGTACACAAGAGAGTAGATATTGATTTTTTTGATAATACTTAGTGTAATTGTTGCTTTCTAAAATGGAAGATGCAAATTCTATTTAAGATTTAGAGTAGCTAACTGATCAGAACAGTTATATATAATATATATTTAGTTTTCTGACCTTGAAAGCCTTTAGTATATGATTTGCTGTTTTTTTAAATGTTCAATTGTTTTCTGAAATTTAACCAAGTGTTAAAACCTTTATTTACCAGCCTCTCTTTGTGTCGTTGGCCTTATGACGAGGAGTGTCGTTGGTTTTCCTAATCGCTCCTACGTTTCAGGATCAGTTGGTGATCTAGATCTGTTTTGGGCTGGTCTGACCAACATTGGTGGGCACTGGGTTTAGTGCCATTTTCCTTGCTGCGTCCTTGAAAATGCTGATAACAAGGTGTCCTAAAGTCGAGAGTTCTGAGATCCCACTAAAGTGTGAGGCCAGCGATTCGCTAGTAGGGTTGGTTGGAAGCTCGATTGGAGTGAGGTGAGGACTCCTTGGTAACGGAGCAAGAATAGCAATCCCCGTTCTCATGGCAAAGCCAGAATCTGCCTATAGGGAGGTGATCGTCCGGAAAGGCTCCCATCGAATGGGTAGTGTCGGTCAAGTGGGTGGTGAAGAGCACCATCAGGTCTTCGATCGTAGTGGTACCTCAACGAGTGCTTGTTGCATTTGGCTGAGTGAATAGCCTAGGGAATGGTACAGGAAGGTAATACAAATTTTGAAATTAGAATTGTGTATTTCCTTTTCCAGTCATGTTATTGGAAAATTATAGAATTAATGTGTGAATGTGCTTTGTTTTACCTAAGTGATCTGATCTTGCATAGGATCTCAAAGATTTCATGAGACAGGCTGGAGAAGTTACTTTTGCTGATGCGCACAGACACAAAATGAATGAAGGGTAAGTTAAAGGAAGTGATGTGTTTGTATAAAGTTTGTCCGATCTATATAGTAATATTTGTGGAGTCCTGTAGCTCAGTGGTTAGAGCACTCGCTTTGCAAGCGAGAGACCTGGGTTTGATTCCTGGCAGGGTGAAATGTTGAGTAAGTTTCCATATTTCACATGCCTTTGTTTACCTAGCACAACCCAGTTGTTAGTCGATTGGCTTGCTTTTCTGGGAGTAATAATCCTTCCAAAAAAAAACTCAATCCACGACTGTTTGTGGGAAACTTCTGAGCGCAATTGGCTGCCGCGTTTCGCCCACAAATGTACAGTCAATTCACTTTAAGGGATATTCTTGAAACGTCTAGAAGATGTAAAAAGCGCTATATCAAACTCGAGGATTATTATTTGCTGCAGATGGTCATGGTCCATCTGCATTACTCAGTGTGAATATTGGAAAATATATCAACTAATTTATTACACAAGCAGACATGCATTATGGAGATGCGTGGTTGCAAAGTTTGAATTAATTGGTTAGTTATCTAAACCTATTGTGGAATTTCAAATTATTTGCATAACTTTTGTCCTATTAGACATTTTCAAATAACTTGTAGTTGCTGGAAATAATCTCACTGAATATTGTATTTTCTTTGCTCCCAGGATTGTTGAATTTGCCTCTTATAGTGATTTGAAGAATGCTCTAGACAAGCTTTCTGGCACAGAGCTTAATGGAAGAAAGATCAGGCTGGTTGAGGAACGAAAACAGTATAGGTAAGTATGGGGCACTAAATAGTTAAATGTTTGGCCTCTGCTTGGCACACCGCTGTGTAGGAGTATTATTTTCATGCAGAGTGTTGGAACTCCAATATGTGGTCATCATGAATGTCAATATTTTGTCTGGTATTTACTTAGAATATTTTGATAGTAAAATTGTAATGTATGTTAAATGGATTGCTTCAATTGTGCTTTCTCTTGATTTTTAGGTCACGGAGTCGATCTCGTTCCCGTAGCCGTAGCTCTTCCAGATCTCGCAGCCGATCTCGCTCCAGGAGTCGCAGGTCCTACAGTAGGTCTAAGAGTAGGAGCCGCAGTAAATCCCGTTCTCGTAGTAGATCACCCGTTCCTGCCAAGGAACAGAAAGGCCGCTCCCCTACTCCGTCCAAATCTGCGTCAGTGGAGCGGGCAAGATCTCGGTCTCGTTCACGGTCACGATCAAAATCCCGTTCACGTTCACGATCACCTTCTGTTGAAAGTGCAGATTAAGTGGTGCTTGTGGCGTACATTAATGTAGTGAAAATGGACTTTTACCCCCAAGTTAGTGAAAACTAATGTAAAATATGGTAAGTAGGAAGTGGTAAATTTCTGTTAAAATAAATCTAATTTTGTTAGGATTTCGGTACTTGCAACTATTGGAAGTACATTCAAATTGTATTCTCATATACAGTACTTAAGATTTTTATGCACAGGATTCTGATTCTTCCCCATAAAAATGTGTGATTGCCTTGTTTCATATGGTTTTCTTTTAGAAATGCATCAATTTGTTTTCATAATCCCTTCTTCCCCCCCCCCACCCCACCCCGCCCACTCCACGATTGAAATACATCCATCTGTGGCAAACATAATGGCATGAAATCCTGTTTTGTGTATGCTTTAAATAAAAATGATACCAGTTACTGATGAGTGTCTTTGTTATCTTTGTTGGATGCTTTTTTTATAATAATAATAATTCTTGAATTCGATAAAGTGCCTTACCACATAAACATTTTGTTCTTTTTCTCTTTCCCCACACCCACTCAACAATCATACATGTATGTATGTGCTGGGGCCGGTTTGGGGTTGCTGGGGCTGGTTTGGGGTTGCTGGGGATTGTTCACGGATCGTGTGGCCGGTTCGCGGATCGTGTGGCTGGTTCAGGCTTGCTGGGGCCAGCACGGGCTTGCTGGGGCCGGCGCGGACGTGCTGGGGCCGGCGCGGGCGTGCTGGGGCCGGCTCGGGGTTTCTGCGCCCGGTTCGGGGTTGCTGGAGCCGATTTGCGGTTGCTGGCTTGGGGTGGCTAGGTTGGCGGGCTGGCTTGGGGTTGCAGGGGGTGGAGCGGGCTTGCTGGGGTTGGAGCGGGCTTGCTGGGTCTGGAGTGGGCTTGCTGTGGCTGAGGCTGGAGCGGGGTTGCTGTGGGTGGAGCGGGGTTGCTGGGACTGGTTCGGGCTTGCTGGGTAGGGGTCGGGCTGGCCGGTGCGGGCTTGTTGGGGCAGGTACGGTCTTGCTGTTGACGGAGCGGGCTTGCTGGCGCCGGTGCCGGCTCGAGGGGTCCGGCGCGGGCTTGCTGGGACCGGTTCGGGGTTGCTGGGGCTGGCTCGGGGCAGCTGCTGGGACTGGCTTGGGGTGGCTGGGTTGGCGGGCTGGCTCGGGGTTACTGGGGCTGGTTCAGGTTTACTGGGGCTGGTTCGGGGTTGCTGGGGCTGGATCAGAGTATAGAGTATATGTATCAGATTTGGATATTAATTAGTCTTTCCTAGCTGTGAATAAAACTGTCACTGAAGTGCAAGAGTTTGATTACGTGCTGTGGGAAAACCATTGTCGCAATTTTCTATGTTAATTATATTATTGTGGCTGGGTACCCAGAAGATGAATTGTGGCTTTTTACTGATGTGATGGATTCTATTTAAATTGCATACACCTATTTGTAAAGTTCTGATCATGAAGGTAAACTTCGTACCAAAAAAGCAGGCCTGCACTATGCTCTATTTTTAAAAAATGTATTATTTACCAAACGTTGAATTGGTAAACACATTACATCATTGCAAGCAGGTGAAGTGTGATGGTTTCAGCTTTGTTCTGTTGTCGTGAACACAATATTAGGAAAATTGCATTGGTTGATGGTATTTTCTTGCTTAAACATGCCCGTCTCCCAAGGCAATGAAACCTTGAGGAATTCAGGTGAGTTGTTGCAGCTGAGCTTTGTTCCCTGATGCCTTGTTTGGGTGCTGAAGCGAGTTCTAACTTTGAGGTGCGAGACAGCATAATCTGATTCGATCACTCTTATTTCTCATGCCCTGCCATAACTTGTAAGTTAGTTAACTGAAAATTTCAAGGCAACCTCAAGCCTTGTCCATTCCTTTGAATTGTCAAACGCCAGGTTTCAAATGGAAACGGTACAAACTAGAGATTTGGAAGTCTATATGCTAGCTCACACATCATTACTGTGGACTGAGTCCACAGTCCAGACATTGAATTCAATTGTAGCACCCCACCACTTCAGCTGAGTCATATTTTGGATTTTCTGCATGGCACTTCAATCAGATGATAAACAATAACAATCTATGAATTTAGATAACTGTTGCTGCTCAATTTGTTTCTTTTTATTGTAACTTAATCTTGCTTTATCACATGCAAGGCAAAGTTTAACACTTAGTGTAACATTCCCCAGAAAACATTAACAATATTTTCTTTTGGAGCTGAAGTCAAAGGTTCATTGTACAGTTCGATTCTGTTACTGAAGTTTTGTTAATTATCTCGGATCGATTGTTGGAATGGAATGCGCACTCTCTCACAAGAGGGACACATCCTGCTTACTGAATTTCGGAAAGTATTAGGTGCAGGTTGACAAGAGCCAAGGATTGGGGGCCCCAGAGCTTGTGTTGGGGCACTGCTGGATTCTAACCACCTAAAGCCGCAAAACTTGCCATCGATATAGCAAACTTTCCTGCTGTTTCTCCAGCTAGGATCAACCTACCGGTTAGGCCTTTGGCTTGTGGAATTAGCAGGAGCTAAGTGGAATGGCTCCCTACCCCGTGACAGGCCTTCCAGGTCCTGCCAATGAGCGAAGCTGTCTATGCTGTGATCAGCAGTACCCTGGAACACTGCAGACCCGCCTAGCTCAGGAACCGGATTACCGAAACTGACACAGAGGGCTGGCTCAATTCAGAATTTCCATTGCCAGGCATGTTACCTTGGGAGCCAGTTGCCAGTTCAGCTCCAAGGAGACCCCGCCACCACCTCCCAAGGAGGATAGTCACAAAGAACAATGAAGTAAGTGAATGACCAATTTTATTTGGGGGGATTGTTGGCCAGTCTGCAATGGAGTCTTGGACCTGGAGATCAAAGTCCTGATGTGACGCATGATTCCACAATCGTCTGACCCAGATGGGAGAATTCTGGAAACTGACACCTTTGTTGATATTTCACTGAAGTGTCTTCTCCAGTACATTCCAAACCAGTGAGTCTTGGCAAGCTATTTAACATTTTAACAACATAACATGTAGGAGCAGGAGTAGGCCATTCGGCCCTTTGAGCCTAACCCGCCATTCAATCATGGCCGATCTTCTAATCTAACTCCAGCTAATAACCTGACCCTGCCTTATCCCCATATCCCTTAATCCCTTTTGCAATAAGAAATTATCTATTTTGAGAATGTTGCAGCCATGCTCACTCACATTTGTACGTTGCTGCCTACAAATGCACAGCCACTCTTATTTTTAGCTGAACATTAACTTCCACCCGAACATGGGAGATCTTTGTTTAATGTCTTGCTTGAAGGAGAGCACAATTGAGAATGCTTTGTTTTATATACATAGGTATACAATTGTGTAATTCCCCCCTCCCAAAAGGGTCATTGATACTGGTTGGGTTTAGTCTTCAAACTTAACTTACCAAACTAATTATTTTCACTTACAACAACTTGAATTTATACAGCACCCTTCTCTTTTCGAATATGGTCAAAGATGGGATAAGCAGTTTAATGTCTCATCTGAAGGCTGCCACTTCTGACATTACAGCACTGCAATGGAGACCATCTAATAATAATCCTTGCATTTGAGATAGGGCCTTATCGCGTCGAGAAGTCTCAAAGTGCTTCACAGAATACACTGTAAAGTGATTTAATTAACTACGTCTTGTGGGGGAAATGCGGCAGCCAATTGAGCACAGCAAAAAGTGTCCCACAAACAGTTGTGGATCGAAGTGACCAATTTGTTAATAGTTTTCTTTTGCTTGAGGGATTATTATTAGGCGTGTGGAGTAAGGAAATTTGCCCAAGGTTTCACCCTGTCCGGGAATCGAACCCAGGTCTCGCCCTTGTGAAGTGAGTGCTCTAACCATTGAACTACAGGACTTCAAAATGTGCAGGTACTCAAGACGACTGAATACTGCAACTGAGTTGGGCTGATACAAACACACACGTATCTCATCAGCACAAATTCCGTCTAACAGCAATAAAGTGTGAAGGGAAGAGCAAGAGAAGAAACCCACCCCTCTCGCTGAGCTTCCAGGTTTGTGCCTTCCGTATTGGCTGTGATTGGCTTCCGTGTTGCAAGCTGGGCTGTGATTGGCTTCCCTGTCTGAGGCGGGGCTGCGATTGGCTTCCGTGTTGCAAGCTGGGCTGTGATTGGCTTCCCTGTCGGAGGCGGGGCTGCGATTGGCTTCCGTGTTGCAAGCTGGGCTGCGATTGGCTTCCCTGTCGGAGGCGGGGCTGCAATTGGCTTCCGTGTTGCAAGGTGGGCTGCGATTGGCTTCCCTGTCGGAGGCGGGGCTGCGATTGGCCGCTCGCCGTGGCCCAGGTGGGGGGGCGCACGGATTGCGAGCCTGGGATTGGCTGAGGGGGTGTGCGGTCGCGGGCGCTGAGTGGCGAGAAGCCGGCGGCTCGGCCGCCTCCGATTGGTTGATGTCAAGGCGGGACGAGACGCGGCCTCCATTTTGTGGCTCGGCTTTTATTATAGCTGCGTCACTGCAGCGGCTCGGCGTTTGGGACCAGGTAAGCGGCTCGGCGAGAGGCACCGGCTGCAGACGGTCGGTGTTTCTGACTGACTGACGGGGTCAGCGCGGCGGCGATCGATGTATTTTTTTTAAAAAAAAACTTATTTTACATCTGATTTATTCCCCTTCTCGTTTTGTTCGACGGCTTCTTATTTTTAATATAAATTTTAAAAAAAAGCCAAGGTTTGGCCGCGCGGTGCCCCCTCCCCCCCCCCCCTCTCTCTCCCTCATCCCCGAGCGCGCGGCGGCCTTTTTCCGTGTCGGTTTTCGAGCCTATTTTTTTTCCCCCCTCTCTCTCTCCTCCTTCTTCGTGGAGTAAACTCGGGCCGGTTTGTGAGGTGGGGCGGGTGGTTGCCCGACGGTGGCGTTAAATGTCAAGGTTCCCCCCCCCCCCCCGCGGGATCGTGGCTTTGTCCCGCGTCTCTTTCCACCCCCCCCCACCCCCCCCCCCCTTCCACCCCTCCATCGCCACCGCTTTCTCCGCCATCTTGTCCCCGGCCGCTCGGGTTTTGTCCCTCTCGTGCGCAATTTTCCGGGGCCGATGACTCGGGAAGAGATTTTTTTTCTTTTTTTTTTCTTTTCGCGCCCGCCAGGTAATTTCACGGGGTGGTGGGGTGGGGGTTTATTTGCTGGCGATGCTGTCGGGCGGGCGGGAACGCTGTGGATTTTTTTTGGCGGATCGCGTTGTTATTTGCAGGGCGTACGTTTCCCGGAGGTTTTCCGTTGACGATCTCGAGCGGGCGGTTTGCTGGGGATTTTTTTTTTGGGTCGCCCGGGAGGAGGAGAGGGTGAATGACGGCGCATAATCTCTTTTTTTTTTAGCGGGGGGTGTGTGTGGGGGGGGAGGGAGGAGGGGGGGTGTTATTCACCTGCTCCCTCCCCTCCCCCATCAAAAAAAAAAGGAGGACGGTTTGGCCCAGTCGGCCCTCCCAGGCCTCGGCTTCGATGGAGCAGGAGATTAGACACCGCTTTACAATGATACCAGGCGGGAATTAGTCGTGTTTTTTTTAAAAAAAACAAAACAACACAGAGAGAGAGAGAGAGAGAGGGGGGAAAAAAAAGTTCTTCTTCTTTCCGAAGAGCCTCGTGCGGCTTTGCAGCTTCCCCGCTGGGGAGGAGGAGGAGGAGGTGGTGGTGGTGCTGGTGGTTTTAGATCCAGGAACGGGGCGAGCGGCCCGACCGGGTCTGGCAATGGCACTGCGTGAGGCGGTCACTGCTCTCTTAGCAACTGTTCAGAAAAATAAAACCCCCCCCAAGAGTTAACCGCTACTGATTAAATGACCAGAACTGCTGTGAAGTCTGGGACAGACCAGACCGTGTGTGTGGTGGCACTGGTTACCACGTCAGATCGGGTGGGATGAATATTTTTCCAAGTTTGTTTTGCCGACATCCGCGCGGGTGTCGCGGTTTTTCTATCTTAACCTGTTCCCTCACGGGACTCCCTCCCCCCACTCACACACCCTCTTCAGCGCTGAGGTTTAGAGGGGACGTTGTTGTTCACGCGATTCAAGATTAGGTTTCAGAGAGAACTATAGACATTGTTTTTTTTGTAAAGAACTGAACACCCAGTTGCCAATGATTTCAAATGTAAACGTTTATACAGCATTAATACATCTTTCTGGAAGTATGACGACTGCGTCCTGCAATTTGTCTGATGTTAATTGGGGAGAAGGGAAAAATGGAGGTAAACACCTTTGTGACTTCTATTCCCATAGATACTGGATTCAATTTTCCTATTGACTTGTTGACAGGACCAGTTTAGTTTCGCATGATTTGGCCATTTAAAGTTGTTGTATTTTAAGTTTAAGACTCCCAAAGAGCAAATAATCAAATTGCTGATTTGTTATCAGTAATTTAACCTTTCTTTGAATTTTTGAGTTTTTTTTTGTTACTTTAAGTGCTGGTAATAAGTTAGAGGTTTATTTTGACGGTTTTCTTTCTTTCCCATTCCCTTTAGCAACCTTATACTTTATTTGGAATGAGCTCCCGTGTATTCATTGGGCGATTGAGCCCTTATGCCACTGAACAAAAAGTGGAGAAATTCTTCAAAGGATATGGACGAATCAAGGAGATAGATTTGAAAAATGGCTTTGGATTTGTGGTAAGTTGTTTCTGTTTTTTTGTATAACGGCCAAGCCAAGTTTGTTCAATTTAGTAACATTTTGCAGCATTTAATATTATGGCCACTGTCTGCATCGGTTTCCTTTAGTTCTTCCCTCCTCAACAGATTGCTGAGTCTTTCTGATTCTTTGCAGTGGTTTCATATGCTTTTAAACTTTCTAACATAATATTACGGTTAGAGCGAATAATCAGCTCTGCTCTATGGTGGCATAAATGCAGTTCTCATTTTTTGTTGCAGGAGTTTGAAGATTATAGAGATGCTGATGATGCAGTTTATGAACTGGATGGAAAAGAGTTGTGCAATGAAAGGTTAGATTTCAGTATTCTACAATAGAATGCTGCTTATTGGTAAACTGTTAGCTACATGGCCACTTATCTGCATTGAGATCTGAATGCAGAAGTAAACCCGAGGCTGCAAAACCTGTCAAATCATGTGTAGTCGCATTCATGTTTGCATGGTTACTGAGAATATGTATTACCTGCGAATAGGCAGGTATTTCATGCTACTCTGCTACAAATCTTTGTGAAGAGCCTGCATGGTAGTGAGATGCCAACACAAAGGTGGTTAGTTAGTGGGTACTGTAAGGTACGAGATAGGGTGAGAGAAGAAGTACAAGGTAGAAAGATCCAAAATGTTAAAGAGAAAGTTCTTTTACAGAAGAATTAGGGGAGATCTTATTGAAACATAAGATTCTTAAAGGGCTGGATAAACTAGACACTGAGAGACTGTTTCCCCTGGTAGGAGAATCTATAACCAGGGGTTATAGTCTTAAAGGGTCAGCCTTTTAGAGCAGAGTTGAGGAGACATTTCTTCACTCAGATGGTAGTGAATTTATGGAATTCACTACCCAGAAGGCTGTAGATGCTCAGTCCTTGAACATCTTCAAGGCTGAGACTGATAGATTTTTAAAAAACAAAGGGGATAGGACAGGTAATTAGAGTTAGGTCTGAAGATCAGACATGATCTTATCGAATGGTGGGGCAGGCTCGAGGGGCCGAATGGCCGACTCCTGCTCCTAATTCTTATGTTATGTAAAAGATGGATTGACACAGTTTGGCACTACAGTGCCAGTGCAATTCCTGTTTTGGATTAACACTGGAGCCAATTTGTATTTTGTGATGACCAGTTATCCCCATGGTTTCCTTGTCACTATTAGTGTGGGTAACCAGCTCTCCGCTGCATTTGATTGTGCCTTTAGTTTTGCAGACATTGATAGTTTGTTTCTTCAGAGTTACAGTTGAACACGCCAGAACACGCGGTAGTGGAAGGCGAGGACGATTCCAGGGTCGATTTAATCAAAGCTGGACTCGCAGTGGAGGAAGGTGAGCTGAGTTCTATGGGCTTTTCACTTTTGAGTTTTTACGGTAAACAAAAGATTTGTGAATGGTATCAGCACCTAGTTTGCCTCTAACTTGACAATCACCTACAAATCTCTCACCCTTCCCTATCTCTCTACACTTTTCCAACCTCGCTCTCCTGCCTATCATTCCTTCCACATCTTTGAACCTGTCACTTCCTCCTCTGCTTCAACGTGGTAACCTCCATGAAACCACCACCTGCTCCCACGACCCCATCCCTACCCCTCTCCTTAAATCCCAGCTCCACCTCCTTGCCCCACTACTCGCTGACATCATTAACCTCTCCCTGTCATCTGGCACTGTTCCTTCCCCCTCAAAACAGCCACTATCACCCCCACCTTGAAGAAACCTTCCCTCGACCCATCAGAGATATCTAGCTACTGGCCCATCTCAAATCTCCCCTTCCTATCCAAGGTCCTTGAGAGAGCCGTTGCCTCCCAGCTTCGCTCTTTCCTCTCCTCACTCCCTTCCCGATTGGAGAGGTTAATACCTCTCCAATCGGGTTTCCGTGCTGCCCACATTTGACACTGTAGACCACTCAATCCTCCTCCAAAGCCTCTCCTCCAACCTTAACCTCCAAGGTTCTGTCCTTGACTGGTTCAGGTTCTACTTTTCACACCACCTCCACTTCGTTGCGGCAAACAACTTCTCCTCCAGCCCCCGCCTTGTCTCGTGCTGTGTTCCTCGGGGCTCTGTTCTCGGGGCCCCTCCTCTTCACCCTCTACATGCTCCCCCATGGTGACATCATCCGCAGACATGGGGTAAATTTCCACATGTATGCGGATGACACCCATCTCTACCTCTGCTTCCACCCTGAACTCCAGGACTACTGGCGTCCTGACCACCTGCTTGTCCAACATCAAGTCCTGGACGAGGGCCAACTTTCTCCAACTCAACATCAGCAAGACCGAGGCCCTCCTGATTGGCTCGCGCCAACGCCTCTGTAATACCTCAGGCGCTGGCAGCATCAGCCTTTCCGGCTGCACACTCAACCTCACTAAGCCAGTCAGGAACCTGGGAATCTTGCTTTACCCTGAACTGTCCTTTCTCCCCCACATCTGCGCCACGACCGGCACTACCTACCGCCACCTCCACAATATTGCCAGACTCCGCCACTGCCTCACCCCTCAGGCTGCCGAAACCCTCACCTGTGCATTCGTCACCTCAAGGCTTGATTACAGGAACTCCCTCCTCATTGGCCTTCCCAACTCTTCCCTTCACAAGCTGCAGATCATCCAAAACTCTGCAGCTCGTGTACTTTCACGCACCAGGCTCCGTGATCCCATCGCTCTCTCCCGACTACTGGCTCCCCATCCCACAGAGGATCGAGTTCAAGATCCTCGTCTTCACCTTTAAGGCCATCCATGGCCTTGCCCCTTCCCACCTCTCTGACCTGCTGACTCCCTACCAAACTGCCTGCTCCCTCCGTTCATCGGATTCCGGCCTGCTTCCTCCCTTGCCTCCTTCAAGGCTGGTCTCAAGACCCTTCTCTTCGACCGTGCCTTTGGTCTCCCGCCCACCTCTGCCTTCCCTCACCCCTACACCACCCCTCCCCCATGCTCGGGCCCTGACACCTGACCGTTCAGCGCTTTGGGACGTCCTCCCGACGTGAAAGGCGCTCTGTAAATGTAAGTTTGTTGTTGTTCCCCACCACCTCCTCCATTTTGTATCTGGCACTGTCTTTTAGATGTTGCCCTATGTAAAAGGCACTATATAAATAAGATTTGTTGTAATCTAGATGTTACACTTTTTTCAGAAATGGGCCTCCTATTCGTACAGAAAACCGAGTGATTGTTGAGAACTTATCTTCCAAAGTTAGCTGGCAGGTATGTAACGTTACATCATTGTTTCTTTTGTGAAATAAAATAATCATTCATTAATTTCAAATAAAACTGAATTCTATTGCAATGAAATGTGAATAAAGCTTTCAAGGTTACTTAAGCCTCAATTTACAGTGAAGGGCACACAAGTGCGACTTCTTCCTGAATTGCTTAAGCTAGTGTGCCCACATGCTAGCCTTTTCCCTCTTACCAAATCAAAATACTTTATATTTATGTTTGAAATAGTGCTTCAGCATGTCAAAGTAATTCACGCAATGATTTACTAAGTAGTGATATAGTATGCAGTGACTGTTATGTAGGCAAATGTGGCTGTCAACTTGTGCCAGCAATGCAATCAATGATAATTGAATCTATGTTGAGATTTAGTTTTTTGGGGGGCGGGGGGGTTCTTTAATGAAGGTAAGTGTAAGTAACCGCTCAGAATTTACCATTTAACTTTCTTTTCCAAGAGAAAACCAAAGAATAGATAGTTGTGAGTAAGTTAATATTCTAGATTGGGATATGGAGGAAGTCAAAAGGGAAACTGCTGCTTTCTTCATAATTGCCTTGATTAAAATGCTTTTTTTAAAAAGAAAACCAAACCTTTTTAAATGAGAGGAGATGAAAAGCATCAAAGAAAAGGCTATTTACTGAATCTTTTGGCTATTAAAAGTTTAAAAGCAATTAACAGGAAAATTTGTGCTCCTTTACTGTAAAAATGATGAAATCCTTAAGGTGGAGCTGTGATTGCTGCAGACTAGCTTTATGTTTGTCAGTGGTGAAAGCACTAATTTAGCATTTTAGGATTGCCTTTTGTAGAATCCATTAAACATTTGCTTCCTTCTAAATGTTTTCAATCCTGTTTACTTACAAAAGTAAAAAAAAAAATAGGTATTGCAAACATTTAAAGTCACTATTTTGGAAAGCTTTTCACAAAGGTGATGGGTTATCTTATTTGTGACCTGAATTGCTCTACCCTCAGAATCTAGACATCGAGCTTTTAAGAATGTGATCTAATACTGTATATTATTGAGAATCACTGTCTGTTGCTTGGGGGAAGTACAGAGAGGAATAGGTGGAAATTGAATGAGTGTGAATTTTCCCCCTAATTTTCACAGGCGAGGCAAGTTTCATATCTTAGCTGACTTTGGGTGGTGGGCGGGGTGGGCGTCACTTCTTACAGAGGGCAGGTAACCATCATCTTGCACACCCACATGTCTGCTCTCAATATTAATGGCAGGAAGTTGTTGGTCAGCCTACTCTCAGAAGGGGAATGGTGAGTGGCACCGGGAAACCTGAAATAAAAAAAATTGGAGAAACCAGAAAATATTTTCAAGATATTGAGTGTCTTACTGTCATCAATTTTTTGAGTTTCAGTTGTTTCACAGTAAAGTGTCAGTTTTGATATTTTTACTAAATACTGCTCCATGTTGAGTAGCTAACCTTTTTAAAAAAGATATTGTTTATCTATTGACCTTGAAAGCCTTGAGTGTGAAATTTGTTTGGTTTCGTGTTTAAATGTTTACAAAATTTAACCAAGTGTTAAAACCTTTATTTACCAGCCTCTCGTTATGTCGTTGGCCTTGTGACGAGGAGTGCCGTTGGTTTTCCTAATCGATCTGGCTTGGTCTCTTGATGGGCCTAGTTGAAATGCCAATCCGCTCCTACGTTTCAGTCAATTGGTGATCTAGATCTGTGTGTGGTCTGACCTTCACGGGTGGGCACTGGTTTAGTGCCAGTGTTCCTTGCTGCACGCCGAAAACGCTGGTAACAAGGTGTCCTAAAGTCAAGCTCTGAGAGCCCACTCTAAAATGAGGTCCTTGATTGAAAGATGGGAGAAATTCGCTAGTTGGGTTGGTTGGAAGCTCGATTGGAATGAGGTGAGGAGTCCTTGGAAATGGCGCAAGAGTAGCAGTGCTTGTTCTTATAGCAATGCCAGAGTCTGTCTTTAAGGGAGGGTGATGTCCGGGAAGGCTCGCTTCGAATGGGTAGCAGCGGTCAAGTGGGTGGTGAAGAGCACTATCTGATCTCCAGTCGTGGTGGTGCCTCTACAAAGGCTTTTGCATTTGGCTGGGTGAATAGCCTAGGGAATTGTACAGGAAGGTAATATAAATTTTGATGTCATTAGAATTGCTTTTTTAAAAATTCTTTTCCAATGATGTAGTATATTGGAAAATAACTAGTATATTGGAGAATAACTTCTTTTTAACTAACTGATCTCGTTTTACATAGGATCTGAAAGATTTCATGAGGCAGGCTGGAGAGGTTACCTTTGCGGATGCACACAGGCACAAACTGAATGAAGGGTAAGGTGTAGGAATGTGTTAACTTGTGTTTAGATGCTTGGTATTGTTGCTCATCTAAATGACGATATCCGCTGATTCACAAAAACAGTGGTGCCTGACAAATATATTACTTGTAACTTACTGAATGGATAGTAGATGTATGTTGCTAACAAATGTTTTAATCTTCAATTAACAAATGCCTTGAGGCAAGGTTTCTAAATACTACATGAGAATCTGCATCAAGTTGAAATTCTTCAATTTAATGAGCCGTTACCATGGCTGTTTAACTGGTGAACCAAATACATATATAATCATAGAAAATTACCGCATAGAAGGAGGTCATTTGGCTCATCGTGCCTGTGCTGGCTCTTTGGAAGATCAGTCCCACTCCCCCGCTCTTTCTCTGACCTCGCAAATTTTTCCTTTTGGGTACCTATCCAATTCTCTTTTGAGAGTTATCACCTCTGATCTCGTCATCTTGGGTCCACCACCTAAATTTTTCCTTTATCCTTCTTTCCCAGCCCCTTCTCTGCTTGTCCTTATGATCTGATCCCATTTACAACAACAACAAGATTTCATTTATAGAGCTCCTTTCACGTCGGGAGGACATTCCAAGGAGCTGGACAATTGGGTCGGGACCCGAGCAGGAGGGTAATGGTCAGGGGGAGGGAAGGGGGGGAGCGAGGAGGGGGTAGAGAGTCAAGAGGGGAGCTGAAGGCACGGTCGCAGAGAAAGGTCTTGAGACCGGCCTTGAAGGAGGAAAGGGAGGAAGCAAGGCAAAGGCACTGGGGGATGGAGTTCCAGAGCCTAGGGGCTGAGAGGCTGAAGGCCCGGCCACCAATGGTGTTGGGGTGGGGGATGTGGAGCAGATCGGAGCCAGAGGAACGGAGGGTACGGGCGGGTAAGTAGGGGGATAGTAGGTCGGAGAGGTAGGCGGGAGCAAGGCCGTGAATGGCCTTGTAGGTGAGGATGAGGATCTTGAATTCGATCCTCTGGGGGATGGGAGCCAGTGGAGCGAGGGTGGGAGTGATGTGGTCGCGAAGCCTGGTGCGGGACAGTACACGAGCTGCAGAGTTCTGAATGACCTGCAACTTGTGGAGGGAGGTGCCGGGAAGGCTGGCATATTTAGTGTATATTGCTCCGCCTCACTCTTCCTCCAAAAATGCATCACCTCAATGGCAATCCACCTCCGTCATCCACCTCAGCGGGGCAGCACTCACCTGGTTCGAGTCCTACCTCACGAACCACCAGGAGTACAGCTGCACAAATGGCTTTTCCTCCCGCTCTCACCCAGTTACCTGCGGGGTACCCCATGAATCCATCCTTGGCCCCCTCCTCTTCCTAATCTATATGCTCCTTGGGGATGTCATCCGCAGACATGGGGTACACTTCCACGTCTGTGCATGCGGATGACACCCAACTCTATTCTTCCACCTCATTTTGCGACCCCCAGTCCCCAGATGTTCTGTCAGCCTGCCTGTCAGATATCAGGAGCTGGATGAGGCGAATTTCCTTCAGCTAAATGTTGACAAGACGGAAGCCTTTGGCTCTCGTCATCATCTAAAATCATATGGTTCTCACCTCCTCCAACTACCTGAACTCCCCCTAAAGCTCTCCGAACCCATATGCAACCTAGACGTCAGGTTCGACCCCCAATTATTGTTCCTCTCCCACATCCAGTCCCTTACCAGCACCGCTTTCTTCCACCTCCGATGTATCGCCTGTCTCTGCCAATACCTCATTCCAAAAGCTGCTGAAACCCTGGACCATGCCTTTGTTACCTCTCGGCTGGACTATTCAAATGCCCTCCTCACCGGTCTCCCCTCCACTACCATTCATAAAATCCAGGTCATCCAAAACTCTGCCACCCACATTCTTACCCGCCCCAAATTCTGCTCCCCGATTACCCCAGTCCTTACCAGACTACTGGCTGCCTGTCCCAGAGAGGACCAGCTTCAAGATCCTCACTCTTGTCTTCAAATCCCTGCACTCCTCTGCACCCTCCTACCTCTCTGACCTCCTCACAACAGTGCCAGTTGCCTTCGCTCCACCGGGTCTGGCCTCCTCCTTGTCCCCCGAATCCTCCGCTCCACCATTGGCGGCTGTGCCTTCAGCCACTGCGCCCGAGGCTCTGGAACTCCTTTCCTCACTCCCTTCGCCTCGCCCCCTCTCTTCCTATTTTCGGGGCTCAGCTGAAGACCTTTTTGACTGTGCCTTTGGTCACCTTCCTCCCCTTCCCCCTGGCTCAGCCCCGGGATCCGTTACTGTGAAGCGCTCTGAGATGTAGTCCGGTGTGGAGGGCGCTATATAAATCTTATAAAGTTGTTCTCTGGAATAAACATAGTTTATTTACTAGGAATTTAAAGCTACCATTTGAATATTTTAATGCAGTGCTGTTAAAAGTTGTGTGACCAAACTTGTCTGTTTTGCCAAAAAAAATCTCATGGTCACTTACAAAGGTTAATTTTGCAGCAAGGTATCTACGTTTCTCCTTCTTTTCTAGAATTGTTGAGTTTGCCTCGTACAGTGATTTGAAGAATGCTCTTGACAAACTCTCAGGCACAGAACTCAATGGAAGGAGGATCAGACTTGTTGAAGAACGCAAGCAGGGCAGGTAAATGGATATTCTGTCTGGTTATTAATCTTAATTTGGTCTTCGATTCACAGCATTTTATTTGGGTTTTTGTAGATTGCTCAAGAGCTCTGATTCAAATTCCTGTGATTTGCATATTCATATCCAACTATCTTGATACATGCCCACCAAGTTAACAGGATGAGTTAATACACCATCAGGACTTTGCATCAACTTAGTGATGTAACTCATTGTTTATGTTAGCTTTAATTAGTCTTTATTTTGTTTTTCAGGTCTCGCAGCAGGTCTCGTTCCCATAGCCGTAGCTCTTCCAGATCTCGCAGTCGATCTCGCTCCAGGAGCCGCAGGTCCTACACTAGATCAAAGAGTAGATCCAGGAGTAGGAGCCGCAGTAAATCCCGGTCTCGTAGCAGATCACCTGCTCCTGCCAAGGAACAAAAAGCGGGTTCACCATCGCCTGCAAAATCCGCATCAGTGGAGCGTGCAAGATCTCGAACCCGGTCTCGGTCAAAGTCAAAGTCTCGTTCCCGATCACCCTCAGTTGAAAGTGCAGATTAAGCAGTATGTTAATGTCATAAAGTGGACTTTTGCCCAAGTGAGTGAAAGTTGATTTAAAATATGGTAAGTAGGATGTGGTAAATTTCTGTTAAACAATACAAACCTTAATTTGTTTACTTCATCCAGAGAAGGTATAGTCCTTAAAAGTCCTTTTGACTATAGTGTTCTTGTATAGTTCAGATTTATATTCAGAAAATGGTCATTTTTTCTCCACTTAATCTGTGCTTGTTTATCCAACATTGATTTGTTAACATTCTCATCCTTTGCTCATTTGCTGACATTGATTTTAAACATCTGTAGCATTAAATGCAATGGTATGAAATTATTTTTTGTGGTGTTTTAATGTTGCACAAATATTGTGCATGTTAATGTTACACAAACCATATTTCTGTATTTACCTGGGCTCTACACTGTCACTTGTTGCTTACAGTTGGATCACTGGGTAAATGTACACAACATTTTATATTGTTGAGTCCTCATTGGACCAATTTTCAATAGAACTTGGCCGTGGTGGTCCAATATTTGAATGGTCTGCTGAAACTTGATGTTCCTGCGCCACACAAAATTTAGTATGTTTCCTGCTGGACTGTCTTTTCACGGATTCACTGGTGCTTGTGTGGGCATTCTTCATCCAATACACGTGCCTTGGAACTCTGCATGACTGTCCAGGATGTGCTCATGACATTCAGGAGCTCTGCTTCATTGAAAGTTGTGAGAATGCTAGACATGTTTGAGTGCTTACAGTCAATTTGCGGGCAAATATTATTGCCTTTTTTCCTCACCCCGCATCAAAAGTGTTGCACCACAAAGCCGGAATTCGGATGGTTTGACCAGGGTGAATAATCAAATGCTGGTTATGGCAGTTGGCTGGAGATTCACCTACTTTGATGGATCCATATAGATGGTCAGGAAATTTTCAGAACTTGGAGATTTTGAGTGATTGTTACTTGATGGTTGGTTTTCTTGTTTCTGCTCAAAAACTTGAGACAAGTTGGCATGGAGGCTGGATGATCTTTCTGGAGGGAATGCAGGTTTCTCCACATTCACTCTTGTATCTCCAATGCAGTGCTTCTTCCCAGTACAGTACTGGAGTGTTGTCCTGCAACACAAGTTCAAATCCCCATATGGGATTGAGCCCACAACCCTTTGAGACAAGCGAATGCCTACTTGTACCTTTAGTTACTGTGATGGAAGATGTGATGTTACTGTTAATTCCAGCTGCTGAGATTCAACCATTGATTGTTCACCAGTCTATTATGCTGAAAGAGGCATTACTTGGACATATCTTTGTTTTCTGCCAAAGAGTTTATCATAGGCAGAGGTGATTAAAAAAATCAACTATTTCTACCAACACAGATGTACATAAAGCATTAGAATAACATTCTGACATAAAGCCCTTTATGCCATTCTGGCAATTTATTAAATATAAACAAGGCATAAAATGTGTTGTCCGTTGCTACAGGCTGTTTGGCTTGAAACTAGCTTGCCTGTTCAGTGTCTTTCTTTGGTAAGGATTTTATTCTTTATAAACTGGATTGGATGGATTTATTCTTTATAAACATACATTGCTTGGATCTGCCAAGCAATGAAACTTGACCAATCACATGCACCCAAGTCCTATTCAGTTGCCTACCAAAAACACTTTGTATAAGTTTGCACAAGTTTTATTTTATAAATTGGATAACTAGCTAAATTTGAGCTGTTTCATGATCCCAAATAATCCTACTCATATCATCTCCTAACTCACCACAACCGCACTTATTGGCGACATTGAAGTATGTATGTGCAGTGTTCCGCTTGAAACAAGTGAGGAAAGTAAAGTCTTGACCCATCACTGCATGCACATTTACATACATTCTAACTTAAATAAGTTTGTCAGTAACTCGTACTTTGTGTACGTCAATTGATGCAAGCTTTCCTGCACCCTGTGGCAGGACCTTCCTGGTCACTACGGTATTAACTGCCTGCAAGAACCTCCCTCCCATTGTTTCTGGTACAGTGCTAATTGACTAGATTCTAGTAATGTGTTAGAGAAAAGACTGTATAAGGTAAGTATTTTTCTTCTAATTTTTTTCAGCTGACCAGTATGTATTTATGCAGTGTAAAATGAATAGGTGGAGCAGAAGAGACAAACACTAGGGGAGTGGGACTAAGTTGAAGACTTGGCTGCCTTTGCTGTACAATTCTGTGAAACAAAAACACATAAACGTAAATGTAAAGTACTCTTGAGATAGAACAAAGGGACATCATAAAAGTAAATGACCCATATAGTCCATATTAAACATCTGTCCAAAATAAATCAGACTAATTTGCATTTATTTCATAACTTTAAAGATGAGCATCTCAAAGTTCTTGATAAAAAAATATAGCTGATTGGAGATTAAGTAAAGGCTGTTAGATGGGCCAGTTAATCTGAACCAGCAGCAGCCTACAAAGAGATGTTTTCAATTAGTTTGAATTTTGTGGTAAATTTAGGTTTGGAGGGGACGTAAATCTAACCAGGAGTGAGATTTGTATTTTGTGCTTCACAAAATGAATGCAAAATATGGGACAGTACAATTAAACCAATTTATAAATATAAAAGCAAACAAGCATGTGAAGGGAAACTCGGTCCATTTCCAAATTTCCTTGGAACATAACTAGGTATTTGTGTGCAAAATAGTCACTACACCTCATAGTAAAGCTGGGTAGTGCTAGAGACAACTTGTCATGAAAGATGCTTAATCAAATGCAGGGATGAGATAGGATGGAGTGTACATGCTAAGGGTGTGTCACTTGTGGAGTCATATAGATAAAGGGCAGATCCCATTATTCGTCTCGTGTCAATAGCACATACACCTTTCAGCAGGGATCTTTGTTTGATGTTCAGAAAAAATTCTGGGTGCCTTTGCAACAAGCCTCTGGAATGCTGCTGTTATGTCAGTAGTGCTCCTGCAGTTATAACACTGTTGGTTATATGTTGTACAATAGCCTACATATTGATGGAACAAAGGCTAAGGATGCATTATTCCCAATATAACATTCTGTGCATTATCCTCTTTAACATAATTTGTGCTTTAGAATGTGCAAGATATTTTGTACCTGCACATTTTGCCATGTTTAGTATACTTGCACTTCTTGTGTTGAAAAACATATCAGCCTGTGTAACATGTAATATGTAATGGATTATCTTCTGCACACACAGTGTAAAACACTAGCCTGCACCCGATCCTGTGTACATACTTTAACTTGAGTATAATCCTATGAGCAACACACTCTGACTTGTGCTTTTATCTTGTGTTGAAATCCCTGACTGTCCAACGCCTTGGGACATACTCCCCATGTGAAAGAGATGTGGAGTCCTGTAGCTCAGTGGTTAGAGCACTTGCAAGCGAGAGACCTGGGTTCGATTCCCGGCAGGACGAAACCTTGGGCAAGTTTCCTTACTCCACATGCCTGATAATAATCCCTCAAAACAAAATAATAAAATTGGTCACTTCAATCCACAACTGTTTGTGGGACACTGCTGTGCGCCGTTGGCTGCCGCGTTTCGCCCACAAACATACAGTCGATTCACTTTATATTCTGTGAAGCGCTTTGAGGCGTCTAGAAGACATGAAAAGCGCTATACCAAATGCAAGGATTATTATTACTACCTTGCATGGAGGGCGCCACAAAAGTGCAAGAGGTTGCTGTTGAATTTTGTATTGCATTCTATGTATAACAGCCTGGCGTATGCAAAACGCATCCTATGTGCAACATGCTCCGCTCTGTGCATTATCCCGTGTGTAACACACACTGGCCTGTACATTAATAGTGTGTCTCTAGTGTGCTCTGTAGATTATTCCTGTCTGTAGCACGTTCTGGTCGTGCATTATCTATCCTGTGTGTATGCATGCACTGTGTGGTCTGTGCATGATCATGATCATGTAACCTGCTTTGGCCCGTGCATTACCCTGTGTGTGTGTGTATATAACCTGCTTTGGCCCGTGCATTACCCTGTGTGTGTGTGTGTATATAACCTGTGTTTGGCCCGTGCATTACCCTGTGTGTGTGTGTGTGTGTGTGGGGGTGACGAGCCAGACTGTGGGAACACCGTTTCCATAGGAACCCCCACCTCATAGAATAGGGGGGGGGGGTGCTCGGAATGCCGGAAGTGACGCATCCTGGCCGGTTGCCGAGTGACTGTCGGTGGGGTCGGGCTCCATTTTGAGGTGAGGTGGTGTTGGGCTCTTTTTTTTCTCTCTCTCTCTCTCTCTCGGTACCGTTTTCCATCGAAGAATCCGATCGGGCAGGTAAAGGGCGGGCGGCAGGAGCCCACATACTAACGGGGAGAGCAGCCGTAGAGGCGGGGCGGACCGAGGCGAGAGTGGGGGGGGGGGGGGCAGAGTTTGGCCCCGAGGCCCCTCCTGAGCTCGGCCTGAGCGTGGGCCGAGTCAGTCGTCGCGGCAGTTCTCCCTGAGTGGAGGAGGGGGAGTGAGGGAGGGGAGGGAGGGGGGTGGGGAGGAGAGGAGAGAATGGCGGCTTTGTTCGTTCCCTTTCTTTTTTTAAAAAAAAAAAGCCCCAAAAAACGTCCAGGAGGAGAAACTGCGTTGTACCTTTTCGTGTGCGATAAAACTTCTGCTCCTGCGTTCATTGGGGGCGGGGGGTGGGGTGGGGGGAGGATAATTATTGCTCGATTGCGAGGGGGGGGTCGAGGTATCGCTGCAGCTGCCTGAATTGGGAGGAGGCCCTCCTCTGGTGATCTCCCGGGGGCCATGTGGTCAATAGTTAAAACCATCCTAAATTGCTTTTTAATTATTCCTCGGGAAATTGCTTTTTTTTTTGGTGGTTGGGGGGGGAAGGGGAAAAAAAAATCTCCGGTTGCGTCTTTATTTTTGTTCAGCCAGGTTTCGTGCCTGCGGTTTTAAGTGCTCGGCGAGGAGAGGGTTTATTTTTCCGTTGTTTCCTTTCTCCAGTTGCAACGTTATCGTCGGAAGAAAATGAGCGCCCGTGTGTTCATCGGGAGACTGAGCCCTTATGCCACTGAGAAGAATGTGGAGAAATTCTTCAGGGGTTATGGGCGAATTAGGGAAATTGATTTGAAGAATGGATTTGGATTTGTGGTAAGTTGACTTTCCTCGCGGAAATGAATTGCGATTGAAGTTTCGAGTGTGCCCAGAAACGGATTCCCGTTTGATCAATAACTTACAGCACCCCACCACCCAAACTCTTCAAATGTACTGCAGTTTACACCTCAGGCATCACCATCCAAGGATGCACATTCCACCTCATTGAGTCATTCCGGACCTTTGGCGTCTTGTTTGACCCTCAACTATCCTTTCTACCCCACGTCCATGCCATAATCCGCTTTGCCTTCCCCCACCTTCGCAACATCGCCCAGCTCTGACACTGTCTCACACCGCAGGCTGTCAAGACCCTCATACGTGCATTCATAACATCCAGGCTCAACTCCCTGCTTGTTAGTCTCCCCAACCCCTCCCTCCATAGACTGCAGATCATTCAGAATTCTGTAGCCCATGACCTCTCCCACACCCGGCTCTGACCCTTTCACCCCCATTCTCACCTGACTCCACCGGCTTCCCATCACATGGCTTCCTCACCTTCAAAGCCCTCCATGGTCTTGCTCCCTCCTACATCTATGACTTCCTAACCCCCTACCAATCTGCCCGCTCCCTCCACTCAGTGGGCTACAGCCTGCTTCAGTTCGCCCGCCCGCCCCACCATTGGCGGGCGTTCAGCCACTCTGCCCCTAATCTCTGGAACTCCATCCTGCAGTCCCTCTTGCTTGTCTCCTTCAAGACCTATCTCAAGACCCTCCTCTTCGACTGTGCCTTTGATCACTCTCCTTCCGCTGCCCTCCATCCCGGATCCTGACCCCCAGCTTGGGTCCAAAACACTGATTGTCCAGCATTTTGGGATGTCCTCTTGCCATGAAAGGGACTATAAAAATGTAATGTTGTCATTCAGCAGAATCTAGAAAAGAAATTAACATTTTTAGAAATAGTCTGCTGAGGGACCAATCAAGAGCTGTCAAAATTAAATAAAGGGTTGGGAAATTCAGGAAATATTAAAATTATCAAGTCAGCTGATGGGGTCTTAATAGATTGTAAAATGTTTTGGAAGGCAGGTGTGAAGTTCAGTATAAGTAGTACAATTTAGTTTTAAACAAAAATGGAGAGAGAGAGTAAACAGATCCAATAACTAAGAAACTGGAGAAGATGGCTAAAGTTTCAAGATGTTACAGGATGAGGGTTAGCAAAGCATAAGTTGAGGTATTACTTCTGAAGAACAGGAGATCTGGAATCGGATACGAAAGTGTGGCTTGTTTATTTTGGGTGATGTTCATAATGCAGCTGCAGCCTTTGAAACTCCCACAAATTTGCACCTGTGCTGTCATCAAGTATTTTGTATATCTATGTTTGTGTGCACCCATTTACTTCAGATTTTTCTGATTGCTGCTGCCTTGCCTGCAAAGTGATGTGCCTGATTGAATATTAAACTTTGTGTACTCACCCTCACTGCTATCACAAACATTCCATGCCTTTGCCTTTTGTCACAAGAATATATTTTTGCGGTGCTCTCGTCACTGGCCTCGCTCGACAGACTCCAAACACTTCAACTGGTCTGGAAATCTGAGCCCATGTTCTTTTTGCATTACGCATTAACTCTCCTGCTCATCAAACTACTGGGTTCTGAGTACCTCAGATGATTTAGTTTTAAGATCCTTGTCCTGGTCTTCATATGCTTCTGTAGTCTCTGCCTATTTATACGTTCTCCTCTATCTCGTGTCCTGACTAAGCATTTAACACGGCTTTTGTCGAGTGCTGTTGCTTCATTGTTTTTGGTGCCTGTAGGTGTCAAAGAGGTGTGTATTTAGCATTTTAGTTGTGAATTCTAAGACAGAGATCTATTGGGAGATGAGGAGGGTTGGGTGGGGGGGTGTGGATGGTGGAAATAGAGAAACTGGCAAGGAGTGTGTTTGAGAAATCAAGACTGGAGGTAATAAAGGCATGAGTGAGGCTTTTAGTGTACTTCTGAGTGAGAAAAAGTTTATTGTAATAAATGGTGTGAATTCTAGGCACCAATAGTCTCAGGATATTTGCGAACAGATTCCATATACATTTATTGTATTCTGCAAACTATGTGCAGAGTAAGCTGTTAAAATTGGTTTCTGATGTATACATCTTCACTTTTGCTGACTTGCCTTGTCAGAGGCCAAATTTTGAAGTACATTTCTGGCTACTGTTCAGTTTAACTAAATGTCACATTTATTCTGAAGAATATTGGCAGCAACACTAAAATTGCAATTTCCAAGTAGTGAATAGTGGCTATTTTATGGCCACTGATCTCATTGTGGAGTTCTGTATCTTTGTAGTTAGAGCACTCGTCTCACAAGTGAGAGGATCTGGGTTTGATTCCCTGGCAGGGCGAAAAATTGGGCAAGTTTCCTAACTCCACACACCTGTTTACCTAGCAGTAAGAAGGAGCTGCTCGTTGATTGCCGATTCACTTTTCTGGAAATAATAATCCCTCGGATGAAGTAAACAGTGGTCACTCAATCCATGACTGTTTGTGGAACACTGCTCTGTGCAATTGGCTGCCGAGTTGCTCCCACAAAATATACAATCAATTCACTTGACAGTATATTCTGTGAAGTGCTTTGAGACATAAGAACATAAGAATTAGGAGCAGAGTAGGCCATTCGGCCCCTCTAGCCTGTCCCGCCATTCAATAAGATCATGGCTGATCTATTCTAACTCCACCTACCCGCCATATCCCTTAATCCCTTTATCCACAAGAAATCTATCAATCTAAGTCTTGAATATGTTCAAGGACTGAGCATCTACAGCCCTTTGGGGTAGAGAATTCCATAAATTCACTACCCTCTGAGTGAAGAAGTTTTTCCTCAACTCAGTGCGAAAGGGCTTACCCCGAATTTTAAGACTGTGACCCCTGGTTATAGTTCCTCCAACCAGGGGAAAAAGTCTCCCACTATCTATTCTGTCATGCCCCTTAATAATCCTATACGTTTCTATAAGATCACCTCTCATTCTTCTATATTCTAGAGAATATAGGCCTGAATTGCTCAACCTATCCTCATAACTCATACCCCTCATCCCTGGTACCAACCTAGTGAATCTACGTTGTACCCGCTTCAAGGTGAGTACATCCTTTCTTAAAAAGCAAGACGTAATAAGGCACTATATCAAATGCAAGGATTATTATTATAATTCCCTATTCAAAATACAGTGGAGTACCATTTATCTACATGTTTTTACACCAAGCCCCTCTTATTCGCATCGGAGTTCAGATGTAGAATTAAAATCATGTGAAAACTTACCTGCAAGCATGTGAACATTCTAAGAAAGTGTGCAATTTTTACCCGATCATAAGATGGAGAGGTGTGATCCAAGTAAGAACAAGACAAGAGAGAGAGTTGCAGAGGGAGGGAGGATTTGTGGCTTCAGGTATAGGAATCTAGAATGATTTAATTTTCCTCTTCTCCTTCCTTCATAAGAGGTGCTGAAGTTAATTGTAGTGCAATTATCACTCTATATGAGCTATTTCTGCATAGAATTAGGATTGAGCATGGACTAGATTCATGACTGACCCATCAGAGATTTATAGAGTTGTGTTATCTCACTGGCAGAGGGTCTTAAACATCAAAGGATCATATGTCACTCAAATGAAAAGCCCTATTTACTACCCGAAACTAACCTCGGGTGCTGATTGACCTGTTGTGAATGTCCGCTTTTCTGGTTCTGTTTTGCATTTCCAGTATTTACAGCCTTTTCCGTTTATTCCAAAATAAGCTTATTCAAAAGGGATCATCAACCGAGAATTGTTTTGCTTTGACAAATTTGAAAATACCGGGGTTGAAAGTTTATTGTCTACTGGGAACTTCTGCTGGTTTAAGTCTCTATCCTCATTGAGGAGCTGGCCATGGATAAGGTACATTTGAAATTCTCCTGGCTCAACTCCTCCTGTTTGGCACCGAGGAATATGTTCTACATTTCCTATGGAGTTTTTTTTTTAGCAAGTTCTTTTAGTTCGTCAGTTGAATAAAAGTGTTTTGCAAGAAGAGAAATACATTTGGGTTTTAAATATCTTCAAGATCAGGAAGTTTGAACAGTGTGTCTTTTATGCTTTGAAATAATTCACTCATCTGTTTGCTACTTTTAAGTGCTTTACTTCCCAAAGAAAGTGGTAGGTCATCTATGTTGGCTCTACTGGTATGCTTTAAGCTATCTTTGATACACTTCTTTCCTTGAGCAATAGTAGATTGAAATGCAGATATTTTAGCCACATCAATGCATCTATCCTTGGGAGAAGTGGGTTCTCCTTGCTGCTGAGCTGACTCCCAAAGTATGTGCTTGGAAGTGAAGTATTGAAATTGAGTCATTCTTCTTTGCCGGTCACGATAATTCAGTTCCTGAGCCAGGTGGATCCGCAATACTCCAGGGCACTTCTGATGACAATCTGGTATCAGAGATGTTTCCCACAGCCCATGTTAACCCTGCAGGCCAAAGCGCTATTGGGTAGGGTGGTCCTAGCTGGACAAGGAGGGGGAAGCTTGTCAGACAGTGTTTCCAATGGGGTGGTTTTAGCTGGTTAAATTCCAACAGTAGCCCAGCACATACTCTGAGATCCCCAAGCCTTGTTTTTTTGCCAAACTACCTAATATTCCCTGAAATTAAGTAAGCATAGTGCTCATTCCTTTCCAGACTTGGAAATGTCCATGTGTAGGTAGCATACATATGTGGAACTGTCTGGTTTGGATACTCTTAAGCATGGTGATGAGTTTCAGTCAGCTGACCCCCCAAAAAAGTAAATAAGATGCAATCCGTTCTGTGTGTGTGTGTATGTGTGTACATATATATATATAGTATGCACTTTTAATAATTGTTTTTTAATGGTTCAAAATATCTTCATGCAGCACACAAGTATTTTTACTCCTGATGTCAGAACAAATGGCCAATAATTGCTGGTTTCGTAGGGTTTTAGATCCATTGCTTAAGGTTGTGTCAGTTTTAAATCAATTATTAAAATATCATAAATCCTTTGCTTTAATTTTGTTTTAGTATTTTCATTCTAAAATTGGAAGATGAAATTCCTTACTTAAAAGTATTTTGCTGTCTGTATTTAGGAGTTTGAAGATTACAGGGATGCAGAGGATGCAGTTTATGAACTGGATGGAAAAGAGTTGTGTAATGAGAGGTAAGCACCCCATACCCTAAATAAGTGGAAGGTTTGTGATACGTTATTGTAGCTGACTGCATTGTACACTAATGAATACTTTGTTTCTACAGGGTTACAGTGGAACATGCTAGAGCACGTAGGGGGGGAGGAGGGCGAGGACCAGGACGATATCGATTTGGTCAACTCCGTCCTCGTGGTGGAGGAAGGTGAGACTGTTGTGCTTTTTCCCTTTCAACATTAAAACGAAAGAGTAACTTGACAAAAGCTAAATTTTGAATGGTAAGTGGATTATACAAATAACGCACTAGACATTTTGTGTGTCTCAAAATGTGTCATCACACAAGATGTTGTTACAACGTAGTGTTCTGTACTCGTAATGGGCACAGTGTTAAATGTTGTGTGATATCTTAGTCTGATTGACTCACTACAAAACGTCGCAGGTTTGATCTCTGGCATACACTGTATGGGATGATCTCAGTTTGCAAATTTTGTTCTTCGGTAGGACTCTGGCCTGAGAGGGGAAAAAAGGGTTTCTCCTTCAGTTTGTTATCCAGTGACCTGTCTACTTATCCGATTGTTAGTCTTCTCTGCTGTAACAGCTGGTATTATAATAATAATGATATAGCATCTTGTCACATCATTGAGACGTCTCATAATGTACAATTCTCCATTTCAGAAATGGACCACCGGTTCGTACAGAAAACCGAGTGATTGTTGAGAATTTATCTTCCAGAGTTAGCTGGCAGGTATGTTGTGTGGAAATATGATTGTTCTATATTTAAATGGCTAGTTTTATGTAGATTGCTAAAACTTAAATATAACCAACAGTTTAATTTGATATTTTAAGATTTATGTTTTTAGTAGTCTTTGAGGTTACCGTTTACCATTGTAGAGGGGTACTGGCAGGTGCTAGCTAAACAGTTCTGTGTAAAGTATGCCAAATCTTGAAAAAAATTATTTGAATAATTGCAAGCACACGTAGCTGTTGCAAAACAACAGGAATTATGTAAAGCCTAGGTTATCTCCCCAGTTCTGACAAGCTTATGACATTAATTGTTTCACTGATTGATCCCAAAGGGAACATAACTATCATTAGAAATGGTGCAATATTACTAATTTTGGATGAAAGCTAAAATAACAGAAGGGCACACATTTTGTGCACAAAGTTTAAAAGGGGATAGAACAGAGAATTAACGTAAAGATCTTATGATCTCCATTATGGAAAATATTAAGGGAATAAAGGGGACAGAGAGCCCGTGACTAGTTTCTTTTCCCTCTTACCCTATGCCCTATGTTTTACCTAGATTTCCTTTCTTTTGTATATGCTGTTGCGATTGTGTTTCAAAATTACTGAATGTATAATGAGACTTAATGGGGGGTGGGGGGACATTGTTTAAAACAATGAGGACAAGTTTTAATTGTCTTCCAGATTAATTTAAGTACTGTTGCTTTAAAAAAAGTAACTTTGATTGTCTATTAACCTTGAAACTAAAATGTATTTTTATTCAGTTTTTAATGTTCAAATGTTTCTGAAATTTAACCAAGTGTTAAAACCTTTATTTACCAGCCTCTCATTGTCGTTGGCCTTGTGACGAGGAGTGTCGTTGGTTTTCCTAATCGCTCTGGCTTGGTTTCTTGGTGGGCCTAGTTGAATTGCCAGTCCGCTCCTATGTTTCAGTCAATTGGTGATCTAGATCTGTGTGTGGTGGTCTGATCAACAATGATGGGCACTGGGTTTAGTGCCGTTTTCCTTGCTGGATCCCTGAAAATGCTGGTAACAAGGTGCCCTAAAGCCGAGCGTTCTGAGAGCCAGCTCTAAAATGAGGTCCTTGATTGAAAGAATGAGCGAAATTCGCTAGTTGGGTTGGTTGGAAGCTCGATTGGAGTGAGTCGAGAAGTCCTTGGTCACGGCGCAAGAGTAGCAGTGCTTGGTTCCTATGGCAATGCCAGACTCTTCCTTTAAGGGAGGGTGATTGATGTCCAGGAAGGCTCGCATCGAATGGGTAGTGTCAGACAAGCAGGTGGTGAAGACAACCATCTGGTCTTCAATCGTGGTGGTACGTCTGCGAATCCTTGTTGCATTTGGCTGGTTGAATAGCCTAGGGAATGGTCAGGAAGGTAATATAAATTTTGATATCAGATTTGTGTATTTTTTTGCTTGCTTTTCCAGTGATCTACATTGGAAAATGATAGTATACATATGTTAATATGCTTTGTTTTACCTAACTGGTCTGGTCTTGTGTAGGACCTGAAAGATTTTATGAGACAGGCTGGAGAAGTTACCTTTGCAGATGCGCACAGGCACAAACTGAATGAAGGGTAAGTTATGTTAAGAAATGGATATTAAAATATCTGCGGCTTACAATGTATGGGGCTGGGGGTTGGTGTCTGCCTACCAAAGGCCCAGCTCTGATACCAGTTGTTGGATGGTTCCCAATAGCAACTCGGTGAATGTATTTCTTCAACTATCCCACCTTCCCCTTGGAGGAAGTGCCTGTTTCATGTCTCAGCAATCCATGTTGCTCAGATATTGTGGAGCTTCCTGATCTAACAGTAAAAATATGAGTAACAAAAATCTATTAATAGAAATATGATATTGTTCTTGTCGAAATAAATACCTGATCAGATATTTGGACTGAAATATTCCAGGATAAGGAAAGACTGTGTCTAAATGTAACATGGAAACCAAATCCTGTCCTGACGCATAGCAAAGCCATCCGTCAAAACTAAGCATCCAAGGTGGATTAATGGCGACTGTGAGGATACTGTTTGCTTGATCCTGGTGGGAGGAAGCTTTAAACTTTGCAACCATCATTTTAAGGTACTCTGATTGAGTGCATTTGTAACAAACTAACTCTGTGACTGGCCTCTTAATTAACTGCCTTCTACTTGTGAATAAATGTGAATGGATATATTCTCTGTTTTCATGCAGTGGGTTTCTTCATTTCAAAATTCTCCTAAATTTTCATTTGGCCATGAACTCATTTTAATTCTGTCATGTTTGTTATATTTAGAAATATTACTTGCATTTGATTTATATTTCCAATTTTACATTTTAATGAAATTCAGAAAGGGGCTTTGAGCACAGTAAAAATCGTAGGGCGTTTAGCTGCAACAACAACAAAATTACATTTGTATAACGTCTTTCATGTTGGGAGAACGTCCCAAGGCGCTAATCAGGAGCAACCAAATAAATTGTTGAGATCATAGATGGAGTTTTATAGATTTTGTTTCCCATTTGAATGGAAGGGGATCTACTGCTCGATTGGTTTTGAAGGAAAAGAACTGGTAAATTGATTGTATTGTTCACACGACTTCCTTTCTGCTACTGTTGCAAGATCTTAACATTTACACAGTTCAGTTGGCATGTCCAGTAGCTGAAACCAGATACAGCATTGATTGGATCTACACTTTTCTGAGGACTAGTATGTCAGTGAAAGAAAACACAGCTTTTGTAATGGTTCTTAATTTTAAAAATTCCTCTGCATTTCTCTCATAGGATTGTTGAGTTTGCCTCATACAGTGATGTGAAGAATGCTCTTGACAAACTATCTGGCACAGAGCTCAATGGAAGGAAGATCAGACTGATTGAAGAACGTAAACAATACAGGTAAACAAACATTTGCTACAATTTCATTTTCCTCTTGGTGTCCTGCTGGTGTTGTTTCTCTGCCCGTGGTTGTAAAGAGTGTCGATTGTCCCACCCCTCGTTAGGTGATGTTAAGGATGTAAGATGGATAGAACTGAATTTAAACAAACACTTGAAATGTTTTACACCATTAATAATGCTGATAAAATATCTGACAGTTCAAATCATTCACTTGTTTTTTATTTTCAGATCTCGCAGCAGGTCTCGATCTCGCAGTCGAAGTTCTTCCAGATCTCGCTCCAGGGGCCGCAAGTCCTACAGTCGGTCTAGGAGTCGAAGCCGCAGTCGGTCACGCTCTGAGAGCAGATCACCTGTTCCTCCCAAGGAACAGAGAGGCCATTCCTCTTTGGCGTCTGGGGATCATGTAAGGTCACGCACACGATCGCCTTCTGGTGAAAGCACAGATTGAGTACGTTACTGTAGCAAAGTGGACTTTGACACGAGTGAGCAAAAGTTGATGTGAAATATGTAAAGAAGTGAATTTGTTTGAGAAATGCAAATTTTAAATTGGTTAACTGCAATACTTGCATTTACTGAAGTATATTCACTTGACTTGTCACATATTTGAAATGCTCCTTTATTTGTTTGCTTCGCTTTCTTTAGAGAGGAATCTAAATTTGTATCTTTTACTTTTTGGTATTAAATGTAATGGTGTAAATTACATTTCTCTGATGTACTCCTTTTAAGTAGATTAGACAGTTATTGGTTGGTGTATGTGACAGAGTAATTAGGTTACACACTTCTGAAACATCAGTATTTTAACAAAAATTGCTAACAAATGGCAATGTAGTGTCCAAGCCTTCCCTTTATTTACTGTGATCCAAGACTACTGTATAATGCAGATTTTTTCCCCCACTGTGATGGAGTTACCAGTCAGATAAATATAACTCCTAAAGAAAAAAAAACAGTAGATTCCTGCTTCTTAAGGGGCAGGGGTCTGCAGTTTGTGTGTCATTTCCATTTTTGTATTCTGAGAGAGAGCTGAAAGAAGTGTTGCTACAGCTCTACCTAGTGCTGTGATCATTTGTCAAAAGGTTGGTAGGATGGGGGACAGGGTGGGAATGTTTTCGGTTATAGGGAGCATTACTCAGACTCAACCATGAATAATCACCGCCTTTCTCAGGACCTGCATGTGAGCACTCTATCCAGACTTAAGCTATTAGAAGGGTTCACATCCATGCTGTAAAGCCGGTCCATCAGTAACCAACTGTTGTAGGAGGGTGGGCTGGTATCCCTACTCTCGGGTGCCAATCTACAACTTTACTGTATTACAAAGAAAAGCTATACTGGAAATTTCTGAATATTCATTATGAAGTGTTAAACTTAGACTTTATCAATGGTTCAAAGAATCATTTTGCATTGGTCTCTGGTACAGAACTGTCATCAATTTCTTAGGGCTGCAATTTCTGCATTAGTTCCTCTGGAAAAAATAAAAGTGCATAAATGATGTGATGCCATCTGCACGGGTTTATAATATCCATCAATTTCCTTCCAACAATATCATTGTACATTGATGCCTATTAAAACAAATTACCTTGTTGCTATATTAAGATATTTAAAGTGTCTGCGGTAATTCTGTGGTAACAAAGTGTGCTGTTGCTCTCAACCAGGCACATTGTAATCAGTTCAATGATTAGCAACTAATCTTACGAAGTTGCTTCTATCTCACTTTGATTTTTTGATCCTTGCTAACATATTTTTGTCAGATCTGGACTGTTTTTGTCTGATTGCCATTTTTTCTAATAAAATACTTGGGAGTACTGTACATAAGAATGCAAACGTATTTGCACATCTATGTGAAATACTGGTAGTTTGTACTTCAACAGCTTTTACCCACCAAATTTGTCAATTTGACATGTCTATGTTACTTCAAACAAACCCACAACACAAACTTTTATGCTGCAAGGAGAAAACCACAGCTATATTAAAACTTGTTCACTGACCGCCTGTGTGGCTGTACACTTCCCTCTATTCATTACATGAATTTTAGCCCTGCCCTCCTTTTACAATTCATTAAGCAAAATTGTTCCATTCTGCAAAAATATCTATCTTGGTTCCCAAATGCCCACATTTAGTTAGAATTCTCACTTGAATTATTCATGCTAGGAAATGGTTTTGAACTGTAGTCAATGTTTTTAACTTTCTATTGTGACTACTCAGAAGATCTGGTCACTCATATTTTGTTTATCTTTTTACCCTACATTAGAAAAAATACCTAATCTGTCAAAGGGCTCTACTGACTATTACCATCATCTTTTGCTACCAAACCCTTCATAAAAATAAGCTTTAGAATTCATCTCCATGTGAAACAGACTCGGGATCAAAATTTAACAAATGTGTGAACACAAAGTGGAACAAATCAACCACAGCTATCTTAACAAGAGGGGAAAAGGCATCATAAATAAAAGTTGGGATGAAAAAGATTATTCAGCCTTCCAAAAACTCATTGCTTGCATTTTAACTTGCATAATTTTTTTTACCTCCCATATCTTGCTTCAACACACAAGCTGAACTCTTTTGTTTATCAGATCCGGCCTGGATGAGTGCCAACTTTCTGCAATTTCAATACAATCTACATTTACTTATTTTTCATGCGAGAACAAACCGAATGTGAAACTTTCACAGCTGGGCATCCAAGCTGGGGGTGGAAGCTGAAGGTGGTGGGGAGGGGAAAAATAACCAAAAGCGTGGTCAGAAAGGCAAGTATCGAGATGAACCTTAATAATAATAAAAAAACATAATCCTTGCGTTTGATATAGCACCTTATCTCGTCTGTGAGACGTCTCAAAGCACTTCACAGAATATATTTTGTGGGTGAAAGGTAATGTTGCAGGTAACGATTTGTTGGATCAGAGTACTTTTGTCAGGTGTGACATTAGATTTCCTGTACAGGCAGTGAGATTCATTCAGTTAAATTATGGTTCAATGATTGGTACAATTCACTCACCATTGCCAGGGAGCAGAATGAGAAATGAAGTTACCATACTGGTATCAAACATTTAATCTATAATAGTCTCCAAAACAAATGTTAAAGGACAACACATTACACAATTGCGAAATAGCAATTTACAGGGCATTGTTTTTATACAGTTTATGTCAATGTTTAACCCCTGTCATCGCAACATCAAAAGTTACAAATAGAAAACATAACTCAGGGATGTTAGACATGGTTAATCAGTTACTATCAGATGCCCATTTATGACTACCAATGGAATTTTTATGCAATTAATTAGTTACTAATGATCTAAAATAATACCTTGCATTTTTATACTTTTGAAAAAAATTTCAGAGCTTAAAAATCTTGCACACATAAGGTTTACCTGCAGCCTCCATTGCTTTCAGGACAACTTGGTTAGAGTACAAACTGGAAGTTCTACTTGCTTCCAATGCCCAAATTTCTTTGAAGAACATAAAAATGAAGTTATTGGCATGGTGGGAGTTCTGCTCAGCTGTTTATTGGGGTTGCTGTAAGCCAAAAGAATTGAGAGCCATGGTATCAGCACCCTTAAGTATGGAGAGAGTGAATTAATGCATTCCAATTCATCATCACTATTCATTAACTTCTGTTGGAAGTGCAGGTGTGAACAACAGGTAAGAACAGGATCAGACTCAGCTGCAATGCTTTACTGTCAAATAGCTCAATGATCATCACATCTAGCTCACAAGACATAATTAATGCACTTCAGTGAGGTGCTGGAGGGCTACTCTTATGTGTCAGCCTGGCTCAGTCGATAGCACTTTTAGCTTTGAGCCGAAAGATTTTGGTTCAATCCCCAAGTTGAAACTTTGAACACAGTCTAGACTGACAACTCAATATAGATTAAAAAAAAGTGGTTATTCGCCTAATGACTTGTAGGACATTGCTATGCTCAAAAACTGGATGCCATAATAGCCTACACATATATGGTTAGTAAACCTTAAAGTAAATCCTGCGACAACAAAAACAAGTCACTGGGAACACTCAGGGAGCATCTATGAAAGGAAAGTGAGTCAACGTTTTGGGTCTGCGACCCTTCGTCAGAACCATTCAGTTCTGACAAGGGTTGTGGACCCAAAACGTTGACATTATATCGAATATATCAAATGCAAGGATACAGCAATACCCCATCACCAGCCGTAGCTTTAGTGAGAGGAATGTAAGCAGAGAAAAATAAGAATACTAGGAAGCTACAGGAATACTACAAATGAAGTGAATGACCAATCTATGAGGAAATCATTAGCCTCTAAAACTTTCATTTCTCAATACAAAAGTTCGAGCCCCATTCACACAGGAGCCAAGTTAACTGGGTGTTAATGTTGAGAGGTATGTTATGAATAATGTTAAAAGCTACAATGACAGTGAACAATGTGTCATTTACTGTCTTCTATGAATCCTTATGGAAGACTCGGTTTTGTTAAAGAACATTGCAGAGTTAGGATTCTCGGATTCAGAAAGTGTAACGTGTTCCACGGTGTTCTGGACGGGTACATAGATACACTGGAACCTGAAACAAGCATCAAAAATTATTTTCAGTCATGTCTGAATTTTTCGCAACTCATTTGGCTCCAGTCAAATTGTTGTAATTTGTTCACTTGTAGCTATATTTTGTGGGCTAGTTTTGTGATGCCAAGGAACAAATTATCCGTTATCAACAAATATTCCTAACAGCTTTTAAGAACAGAAACATAAGACGAGTGTCACCAATCTTGTCCCTTTTTGATTGATCTCAAACAGCCAAACTTCATAATTTCCCTCTCTCTGGGTGACATGCAGTTGGACCTTAACTCATTTCTCCACCGCAATGGCCTTGACTGGTATCTTATTACACAAGTTTATTCTCTGTGTAAAGCAACTTATTTTCCGACTTTCCTCATTTTTAACTTGTGATGTTGACATTTGGACTCTGCTGCGGAGAACAATTTGGCTAAATAAACTTTGTCAGGATTTGGAAAACACAGTGAGGTCATGTTCAAGCCACTTTTCCCAAAGAGCAAACATGATTTCCTTACCCTTTACTACAAATAATAATCCTTGCATTTGATATAGCACCTTATCACGTCATTGAGATATCTTAAAGCGTCTCACAGGATCCACTGTAAAGTGGAGTGACTGTATTTTGTGGACAAAATTAATTACACTTTTCTCAACATACCTTGATACCTGATATTGTCTTGGTTGTTTGCATCCAACAAACACATAAAGCTACACTGACACCTTGGTTAGCAGAGCTGACAGTAGCTACCTCAGGAGAGTTCAGCATTGAACCCAAGACCATACTTGGTCCGTAGGTTCAGTACACCACCAACTGGTGAGTCTACCCATCAATAGGACTTGCATATGAGTCACATAATTTAGGACAGTAAATGACAGTAAAACTTACATTTTTCCAGCAGATTTCTTTATTCTTTCATAGGCCCGATAGATTACTATGAAAATAAATGCTTCTGTAATTTGAAATAATAGAAAGATTAATGGAAATAAGTAAAGAATGCCAATATCCTCGGGAGGAAAAGTGACTTTCAGGATGGTAGTGCACAGTTGAACATTTTGGCATCCAGTTTCCATAGATATTGTTCGTTTGCATCTGCAAAATATTTGAGAAGAGATCATGAAATAATAATATTTCTAGATGATGTTGCATGATAAAAATAACAAAGATAACTTACTGAGCGTATTCTATGAATAATAATCCTTGCATTTTATATAGTGCCTTATCATGTCGTTGAAACATCTCAAAACGCCACAGAGTGTACTATAGAGTGAATTGACTGTATATTTTGTTGGCGACAGCCAATTGTGCACAGCGGGGTCCCACAGGCTTTGGGACGTCCTCCCAAATGAAAGGCCAAAACCAAATGTAAGGATTATTATTGTTAAGTTTTACATACTGGTCCCAAAGGGCCACCATACCAATTGGGGTTTGGCTTGAGCTCATGTCTAAACACCTTCAAGATCTAATTGATAAGCAAGACATGTTGGTCACTAATTCATGCCTGCTTAAAGTCATGCATTTCACCTTTTATTCCATGAATGATGTTACAGAAGACGGGGGAAAAACACAATTAATCCTGAACGAAAGTAAAATTGTTAGTATTCCAACTGAGAATGAAAAACTTATTATAGTCCTTACCTTTCAGATAACCTGAATAAACTTGAGAGGATGTATCCTAAACTGTATCCAATCATGGGCATCAGTGCTGAGGTGCCCATTAGTTGTGCGGAGACGAGCGACCAGAGAGAGATCCTATTTGATATCCCTGATAGAACACCAATTATTACGACCAAGAGGAGGACAATTAGCAGTCCAACCTTGAAATAAAAATATAGGTGATATTACTATTAAACTTACAAGCAAAGAAACCATGGGTTGCAGTTGTAGCTCAACCCGAGTAGCTTGATACTTTAAAGCTAGTGAGGAGAGATCCAGACCCTTAAATGTGAGTTTGTGTGAATTCCACTGCCTCTAATTTTGAGCCCCTAGATAAAATAGCCTGGAGACAGAAACTATTTCCTGTGGTGGGAGAATCCAGAATAAGCTACACATAATCTTAAAATTAGAGCTAGCCCATTTATGAGTGAAATCGGGAAGCATTTTTTCAAACAAAGAGTAGTGGAAATCTGGAACTCTCTCCCCTAAAAGACCATGGATGCTGGATCCGTTCAAGTTTTCAAGACTGAGGTGAATAATGTTTTGTTAGGCAAGGATATCAAGGGATGTAGGGCAAAGGCGATATTTGGAGTTGAGGTACAAATCAGCCATGATCTAATAGAATGGGAGAATAGGCTCGAGGGGCTAAATGACTTACTCCTATTCCAATGAGATGAAACATACTTGGGGCTCTCCAGGGCAGTATCTGCTATGCCTTCGGGGGAGCTCAAAATGATATCCCAACACAACAACAAGATTACATTTGTATAGCTCTTTTCACGTCGAGAGGACGTTCCAAGGCGCTGACAGAGTACAGCATTTCAGACCCGAGCTGGGGTCGAGGGAAGGGAGGGGAAAGGGGGTGGCCGATGGCATGGTCGAAGAGGAGGGTCTTGAGGCAGAACTTGAAGGAGGCTAAGGAGGCGGAGTGACTGGGGGATGGAATTCCAGAGTTTGGGGGCAGAGTGGCTCGGGGGGTGTGGAACAGGCCGAAGCCGGCTGAGCAGAGGGAACGGGCAGGTTGGTAGGGGGTTAGGAGGTCGCAGATGTAGGGTGGGGCGAGGCCATGGAGGGTTTTGTATATGAGGACCAGGATCTTGAACTGGATCCTCTAAAGGATAGGGAGCCAATGGAGTCGGGCGAGAGTGGGGGAGATGGGGTCACGGAGTTTTGTGCGGGAGAGGACTCGGGCTGCAAGAGTTCTGGATTATCTGCAGCCTGTGGAGGGAGGAGTTGGGAAGGTCGACAAGTAGGGCGTTTGCATAGTCGAGCCTGGAGGTGATGAAGGCATGAACAAGAGTTTTAGAGGCCTGAGGGGTGAGGTAGTGGCGGAGTTAGGCAATGTTACGGAGGTGAGGGAAATACAAACATTGACTCTGAAAAGATTAGGATATCAGCATTCTGTATTTTTCTAACTTCTATTTCCCATCCCCTTAGATATACAAAAAAAGCTTTGAGAATATACCATCAGATCAAATTAATTTAAGTAATTGAGCTATGACAAAAATAAGCTCATGTTTGTCTCTATTGACCCATAGAAAATAAACTGAGGCTCGAGAATGGCACAGTTCTGACAAGCATCTTACTTTAGTAATAGTCTTTGAGTGCTTCGGAAACTTGTAATTGAGGAAGATGCCAAAGCCACAAGGAATGAGTATTAAAGCCAGGGTAATGGTGATTCCTTTATATGGGACCTTATGAATGAATGACATGCCTTTACAGTATAGGTAGAGAAGCAGAGGCATCATTCCCAAGGCCAGCACTGTAGAAAACGTGGTCATCGCAATACTACAAGAACGAAAAAGATACCATTAGAAAATGTTCAATAAAGCCCATGCAAAGTTAATTTGGTAAAAGTCACTATGATACTAATTCTACCAACAGAACTGAACCTCTATCTGTAATGAAGATATAAAGGGGCTGAATCTTGTTGAATAAATTTATTGGGAACCTTTTATTCTGTCATTTGGGAGGTTAGCGTATTGTCCCCATTTTTACATTCAGCGCTGCTTATATGTTAGAGAACGTGTTTTAAGTTCACGGTGAAATGAGCAATCAAACATTAAATGCTGTAATTGTTATCCAAATGAGGTTTTCTATGAGAAAACTTGGAAAATGGAGGAACATTTAGATTTTGTTGACTTAAAAATAATATTCCTAGACTCCACTGGGTGGCGATGTGAGCACTGTAAGGAATCTCACTCCTGATCTCAACTGTGCAGTTTGTGCAACTGTCGGCAAGGACTGGATTGGGCTCGGCTGTGATATTTGGTCAGCCTGGTCAATGACACATCCGGAAGCCCATCACCTTGCTTAAGAGGACACAAACTAGACTAAGAACTTTACATTATACATACCATCTAACGTGGAAATTTCCCTGTCATGGAAATGTGCACTCTCTCGTTGGAAGAACACACCTAGTTCTGACAAAATGAATAATAATCCTTGCATTTCGTATAGCGCCCACATGAATGGGCAGACATCTCAACTGAAGAATGGCACCTCCAACAATGAACCCCACCCAACACTGCATCGGAGTGTCACCTTACACTACGTGAGTTCAAGTCCCAACATGAGATTTGAATCCACAGCCTTCTGACATGGAAGCAATAGTTTTCTGAGCCAGTCTGACACACATTAGGCACAGGTTTGCAAGAGCCAAGGGCTTGGGGATCCCAAAGTGCGTATTGGGGGTATTGCGGGAGTTTAACTAGCTAAACATGCAAAACTTGCCATCGCATGGACTTGCCGGGTCCATAGAAAGGTAAATGCAATAGAGACTAGACACAGGATTTAATTTTGGTCCATGATGAGTTGGTGGCTGGAAAGACTGCTGTAGCTTGCTTCAGTCCTTTGGGAAGATAGAGGACTAAACCAGTCAGGGTACAGGCCTCTTGGTTCACTCTTTACTGACAGCTCATCAACAGCAAAATATCTAGTTTGCTTACTAGAAAAGGGAGTGTTCCAGCCAACAATACCCCAGATAAAATTGGTTACTCACTTCATGGCTTTTTGTGGGACATTGATCTACACAAATTGGCTGCTGCTTCATCTATGAAATACCCAATCACTACACTTTATAGTAAACCTTGTGAAGAGCTTTGAGATGGCCTCATGCCATGAAAGGGGCTATATCGAATGCAAAAGTTATTATTAATAATAAGGATTTAATCGAATGCTATGGACAACTTGAAATGTTACAAGAAGAGGTGATATACAAGACTTTTTCCCACATAATTCTTTCCAGTAACGCTATATTTTGTATTTGCAGCAATGATGTGACCTTTTGAAAAAGTGAATAAGAAAGTCATGGTTTTTCTTTGTGGTGGTGTTAAAAGAATCGATTCCAGTTAAATGAGCTTCTGACTCACCTGTGACAGCTCAGTAATTTTCTGCTGCATGCTTTATTTCATGCATTTAATTGTAATGGAACATTTACAAATTCTAAAGGGTTTCATGCTGTTATCACATCAACTTGCTGCAATTTGGTCAATTATTGCAACCAGAGGTGACTGTGTGTATTGAGCTGTAAACTGTAGGCGAGAAAACTATTGTCTTTGCAAGAACTAAACAGCTACAGTAGTTAAGTTAATAGGAGTGAGTATTACAAAATAAAATAGGACACAAATAAAATAAAAGGATTGTAAATTCTGTTTTTGTAAACATATTTCAGCCCTCACCAAATGCTCAGTTGATGAATGCAATCAATGCCCAGTGTGACACAAAGCTTTAAGGAAGATCCCTGATTCAATTGCAAATCTGTGCTAATTTAGTTGATCTCAACTGGCCGGGTGATAGATGCATTAGAGTCCTTGGACACCCCTGTCCTAGGGAAGGCAAAGGATCAGCCAGGGTTCTTTGCTCTTGATTGCTATCCACTGTCCTCTGGTGTGTGCACACTGAGCAAGGACAGGATTTGAACAATAATAAATCTTACGTTTGACATAGTGCCTTATCACGTCATTAAAACTCCTCAAAGCCCTTCACAGAATACACTGTAAAGAGGATTGACTGTATACCTTGCGTGCCAAACGTGTCATCCAATTGGGCACAGTGGTGTACCACAAAGAGTCGTGAATTGAGTGACCAGATTATTATTTAAGTAAAATGTAAGAACTGTACATAGTTATAGTCAACTAGCACTCCTGCTCAACCTATGATCTATCATACACCGACTGCTAAAAACGGCAAACTTTTCACTACATCATTATAATGGGATTTACTACTATTCCTCTATTCAGTCTTGTGGTATATGATAAACTATTATTTAGTGTCTGATTTGAAGAAGTCTTTTGAATGCGATACTGGCAATGTATTGGCAACTTTTGGGGGAGGGGCAAAAAATTCATTTGGAAAAGTTTTAATTTTTGAAAGGTTGACATTAACTCGCCACGTGTTTGTAAACAAATAAGGTTTAAGGTTAAGAAGCTTAAACTCAGTTCTACTGACTGACTGATTGGGAATTGTCTCCTACCTGAGGTTCATGTCTCCATCCAGTGCTAGCGACAAGATATTAGAGAGCGTTCCACCAGGACAGCAACCACAGATGAGAACGGCCAGTGATTCGATGGAAGATAGCCTGAAGAGCTTGGTGAGTCCAAAAGCTGTCAAGGGCATGATCCCATACTGGGCGAACATAGCAATCAGCACCCCCTTTGGTTTCAACACATGGCTCTTGATTTTTGATAGCTCCATGGTGCATCCTAGAGACACCATGGTAAGGCACAAAACAAGGGAGGAAATTATGTTAATGGCTTGATCTATAATCTTTCCAGTTGGTCCTCCCATCCAATCCAAAGTCACATTTAAGGCTGGTGTCATGTTGCCATCTGGGAATGTGTTCCAGCTGGTCTTGGACAGATCTTCTTCATAGGTAGAGTTCATTTTCATTGACTGGTTCAGCTCTTAGTTTGTCCCTTGTGGATCTTCAGATTTCCTCAGATCAGAAACAAACCAGAAAATGATTAATTGGTGAGATGCCAGTACTTGTGGTACAGTATTCCAGTATATGTTACTTGTATCAGCAAACAAACAAGAATATTGTTAAGATTTGGACATACTTTTACATGCTATAAGCTTCGGTAAGCTCAAGCCAGTTGATTACAGTTAACAGTACGCTTCTACAAAATACAGCAGTTTTGAAGAACTCTCTGTTTGTCATACTTTGTTTTAGGTTCATGGCTATGAGTATTAATGAGAGCTCTTTAGTCAGTGCACTATTCACTGCAACAAGGAACCTATTATTCAGGCTCTGTTTTTTGCCAGAATGTTGTCCTGAATTACTCGGCAAACACAAAGCAAAACTGGAATCCTCCACATACTGCGTGAATGAATTTGCTCAAGCCCTGGGACAGAGAGCCCAGAGCTTCTGAAACATATAATAATAATAATCATAATAATCCTTGCCTTTGATAGAGAGCCTTATCACGTCTTCAAGTTGTCTCAAAATGTTTCACAGATATACTGTAAAGTAAATCAACTGTATATTTTGTGGGCGAAACGTGGAAGCCAATTTGTCAGCCTAGGCTCAGTTGCTAGCAGTCTCTCCCTTTGAGTCAGAAGATTGTGGATTCCAGCCCCAAGGTAAGGACTCTGACTTCACTGTCTAGGCTGACACTCCAATACAGTGCTGCTTTGTCAGAGGTACCATCGTTCGGATGAGGCATTAAACCGATGTCCTATCCAATTGTTCAGGTGGACATTAAAGATCACGTGGCAATATTCGAAAAAAGAAGGAAGTTACTCCCGGTTTCCTGGCCAACAATCCTCTAAATAAAATTGGTTGTTCACTTCATAGCTGCTTGTAGGATATTGCTGTGTAGAAATCAGCTGCCATGTTTGTCCACAAGTAGACAGTCTAGGCTCAGTCTTTTCCACTTCACAGCATATCCTCCTGATATCAAATGCACTATATGAAATGCAAGGATTATTATTATCATCACTTACTACTGCAAGCCTCACAAACAGCATGATCTTGTTATCAACCTAATGTCCACACATACACTATTCTTAATCAACTTCCAAGCAGCTTTATAAACTCTTTGGAAAAGTATAGCGAACTTTGCTCTAATTAATGTTGATAAACAATGGAATTCCTGCTCCTTTTCCAGTACAATGTGCAGTGCAGCTTCAAACACATTTATAAGTACATTGAAAAGCATTTTGGTTATTGCAGATGTCTCCGTACAGACTGGAATGTTACCATAAAGACTTCCATATAGTCAGACCAATATTTGGGAGGAAATACTGGGTACAACATTCCCTTTGGCATAGTGGCTGATATGCCACTCCATCCTCTGAATGATCTTGCGCAAGTTTTAGGCATTTAGGATTCCCATAATTTTCTTCCAGTACCTAAGTATCAAGTCTGAAGAGAGATTTCGTTCTTCAAATTGAACTTGGCTGTTGCATTTCGCCCAAAAATACACGATCAATCCACTTTAAAGTATATTCTGTGAAGTGCTTTGAGACGTCTAAACAACGTGATAAGGCGTTATATCAAATGCAAGTATTATTATTATTTGGAAGACTTTTGTTATCCTATTTATCTTGGTTGCATACAAATAGTTACATTTTTCAGTTTGTTTTTGCACTAACTGATACAGGCTTTAACACTTTACACATAATGTTACATTACGTCTATTTATCTTGTGGGTATTCAGTTATGTAGGGAATACATTTGACCTTCTTACAACACATGTAAAATCGGAAACATTTTCACTCACCTTTATTAAGGGAGCATTCTTCTGCCAATTTCGACCCAACATAATGCTTCTGTGAGTTACTTCATACGGTGAGGAGGGTGAAAATCATAGCCAAGCCTGCTTCCCATCCTCTCCCAGCATTCATTCATGCACCGTTTAGCAGAAATCACTGGATGGATAGGATCTCTTCCCCAGCCCAGGGACAATGAGGTAAATTGTTGTCCAGCCTGCCATTGATGTGATTGGATCAGTCAACTGGAGAGTAATCAAAACCGGAAACTCCTTGGGTCTGAATGGCTCAGTACCATATAATAATAATAATCCTTGCATTTGATATAGCGCTTTTGACGTCTTCTAGATGTCTCAAAGCGCTTCACAGAATAGACTTGAATGAATGTGTTTTTGTGGGCGAAACCCGGCAGCCAATTGTGCACAGCAGTGTCCCACAAACAGTCGTGGATTGAAGTGACCAAATTATTATTGTTTTTTTTTCTTGAGGGATTATTATCAGACATGTGGAGTAAGGAAACTTGCCCGAAGTATATTATAACAGCTGGACGACAGCATCCTGGCTTGATTGAGCCCAGTGATTGACAATAATCTCTCAACAAACACCGTCAAGAGTCACAGGTGAACAATGACAACTTGAGAGAGGTACAGAGCTTGACAAGACATATAATAATCATTTAAAAAATGATATTTTATAGGAAAAACGAAGGGGAGAAGAAAATCATGCATGGTCAATTTCCAAGAGAAATGAAAGGACAAGGCCTGGATATGAACCAAAGCTACAGCTGGCTGACTAACCAAGATTAAGAGCTGAAATAGAAGGTCTCATAATATCAATACTAGACCAAGTTATTTCTACCCGTTATTATGTAAACAAGATTTTAAAGAAATGATACAAAATGCCGAATATGTCATCAAACACCAGAAACAGTAGAAACAGTAGAACAGTAGAAACAGTAGTAGTACTGTCACCATGTTCAGTTATAGAAATGTAGCTAAATATATCCACTAGACAATTTATAAATACTGTACTTCAATATTGATGTAAACTGGTATGAACATCAACCAGTGAACGTAAATTTAAAAAATAACATCACAATAATCTGGGATTCACAAGTACACACAGACGGAACAGTAATCTGTAATAAACCAGATATTATCATAAAAAAAACTAGATTGTATAAACAGCATTATTTATGTGGCCATTCCAAAGTGATTACAATATATGATACAAAAAACTTGAGAAAATCAATATTTTTTGAGCTGGAAATTGAAAGCTGACATATGTGGTAGTCAGAAACAAGCATAGTTCCTATAATTATTAGTCCAACAGGGACTGTAAATAAGACAATTCATAAAAGGATTGACAAGATATCTGGTGAACAAAATATCACCTCCTTCAAAAAGTAAGCATACAAAGAATAGTAACATCCAGTCATATGTAACGTGGCAGTGTTATTGATCTGGCTGACCCACCACTGAAAAACACATAGAATCTACCCCTACGGAGTGATTTAAACTGTAATAAGATAATAATAATAAATAATATAATAATACTACTAATAATAATCCTTGCAATTGATATAACACCTTTCATTTTGGAGGACCTCTCAAAGAGCTTCACAGGATTTACTGTAAAGTGTAGTGACTGTTTTGTAGGCTAACTGCTGATTGAACCTGGGCTCCCTCAGAACGGCTCAATTTCATACGGGCACTGGCTTTTGTCAGTAAAATGGGTTTAAAAAAAATGAGTGTAAATGAGGTGAAGAGGAATAAAATAAGGACAGCGGAGCAAACATCAGAGGCATAATAAAAAAGACTTTCTGAATCTTTCCCATTTTCTGTGCAGTTGCTCTGGTTCCTGCAGGTGGCACCAAACACTCAGATTTCCTCGTTCTACTTCATTAAAATTGTTGAAATCCTCATTAGGACACACAGATCTGAAGCCAGCGCCAGGGCGAAATTGAATCAGTCACTGGTCTGTGTTGAGTTAACAGATCTCAGCAGTAAAGAGGTTACAATTAGCCCTCAGAACCCTGGGATTAGGAGACAGCAGCATTTCCAATGTGAACTTGGGGGCACAAGCATTGGCTCTTGCCAACCTGCGCCTAATACTCTCCGGAATTAGGTAAGCAGGATGCGTCCCTCCAGGGAGAGAGTGCGCATTCAATTCCAACAATCTATCGCCGGAATTTCCATGTGTAGGTGGGATTTGTGGAAATCTCAGTTCGGTTTGGATATATGCTTAAGCACGGGTGATGGGGCTCTGCATGTGTCAAATAAATAAAACATTCAGGTCTTCACAGTGTCAGGTTGGCTCAGTTGGCAGCACTCTTGCCCCTGAGTCAAAAGGTTGTGGGTTCCAGCCCTCTGTTGGAACTTTGAGCTCACAGTCCAGGCTGATGCTCCAGCGTAGTGCTGAGGGAGCATTGGCGTCCTTCACGTGACATGTTAAACTGAGGTCCCGACTGCCTGTTCAATTGGACATTAAATATCCCAGGCCACTATTTGGAAAGAGAAGGGCAGTTTCTTCTGGTCTCCTGGCTAACAATCTCCCAGATGTGAAAGAAAAATGGTCATTCGCACAATGGGTGTTTGTGAGACATTGGCTGCGTGCAAATTGGCTGCCGTGTTTGCCTACAAATACACAGTCACTACACTTGTCATAAAACCCTGTAACAAGTTTTGACATCAAATGGAAGGATTTTTATTATTTCACACTTCAGGTAGAGTCAAAGGAGGGGAAAGAGGAAAAGTGAAATTTCTCCCACTGTTAAGTTTAGAGTCTATATTAATTAGCACTTAGAATGGGTTATTCCTGATGTAACTACTCAGCGTCTTAAGACAAGAGGACATCCTCTCCCTCTTTAAAGACTTCTTGATGCTTAAGTTGAAGGGTGTGTAAAATCTGATATCTTCAAACTAAGGAAAGGGAATGGAATGGGAAATGCAGGAAGCTTTGTTCAGTGAACGGTGAGAAACGTGTTAAAGAAACTACCACAGGCACAGGTGGTGAAACGAGAAACTACAGAGTTTCAAACAGAAACTAGGCAAGTTCCCGTCAACAACAACAAAAACAAATTACATTTGTATAGCCCCTTTCATGTCGGGAGGACATCCCAAGGCGTTGGTCAACTAAAGGTATTCAGTGTTTTCACATGCAGCACATCGAAGAGATAGAGGGACTCATAATCTACTCCTGCCTTGAAACTATTTGTGAAATGCGAAGCAACGAGCTTTGATCGTAAACTATGATCGTAAAATATAAGCTAAATAGGAAACGCAGAAGATTTTCTTTTAGTGAATGGCTGAGAGGTGTGTGGAATAATCTCCTGCAGGCACAGTGGGGTGGAACAAAAAGCTACAAGGTTTACATT